GGGGGGGGGGGGGGGGGGGGGGGGGCTCCTCCTCCACAAGCCCTTCGGCCGGCGGTATTTATTTATTTATTCACTCACACCACCAGATTTCCGAGTCCGCCCTCCCAGCGGCCGCCGATCCCAGCCCTGACCGCAAACGACGCTGCCCTCCCTCAGGGGAAAAAACCCAAAAACCTACGTGAGGGCCCCGGCTCTCCCGACGGCCTTCGGACCCGCAGGGCCCCGAGCCCCTGGCCGCCCCCCTTTCAGCGGAGCCCCCCGGTCCCGGCAGCGGGGTCTCCCGCCCACCGCGGCCTTAGCAACGCCCGCCCGGGGCCCGCCCGCTCTCACCGTGGCGCCGGGCCTTCTACCTCAGCGCCTCAGCGCACGCGTAACCGCCCGGGGACCCGCCCCCGCTCCCCTCAGCGGGCGCTGCGATTGGTCGGGTTGCGGGTGACTGGCAGCGGAGGAGGAGGAGGAGAAGGAGGAGGAGGAGGGAGATGGCGGCGGGGCAGGGCGCGTTCAGCCTGCGGGAGGTCCTCGCCGCCTTCCAGACGTGCGTGACGGAGCGGCGGGAGGTGCTGCTGGGCCCTTACCTCAGCGGTTGGCGGGGGCTCATCCGGTGAGTGCCCTCGGCGGCCGGCCCGGGGGCCCGGGGCCGGGTTGCCGTTGGCTAACGGGAGCGTGTCTTCCCCGCGCGCAGGTTCCTTCACAGCCTGGGCTCCATCTTCTCGTTCATCTCCAAGGACGCGGTGGCCAAGGTACAGATCATGGAGAACTACTGCCGCGGCGAGCAGCGGGAGAAGTACGTGTCGCTGCAGTCCATGGTGGAGTACGAGCTGGCCAACGGGCTGGTGGATCTCCAGAAGCGGTCGGGACGGCCCGACTCCGGCTGCCGCACCGTCCTGCGTCTCCACAGGGCCCTGCGATGGCTGCAGCTCTTCCTGGAGGGGCTGAGAACCGGCCGGGAGGACTCCCGGACGTCTGTCATCTGCACGGACTCCTACAACGCTTCCCTGGCCACCTACCACCCCTGGGTTGTTCGCAAAGCTGCCACGGTGGCCTTCTGCACGCTACCCTCCCGAAACGCCTTCCTTGAAATCATGAACGTGGGCACGACCGAGGAAGCCGTCACCATGCTGGGCGAGGCCTTACCCTATATCTGCGACGTCTACGGCATCACCCAGGAGCTCTTCGCCCGCCACAAGCTGCTTGACCTTCCTTGACGGGAGGGATGCTCAAGAGCCGTGCCACGTTCTGACAGAAGTAGGATGAAGCGGGTGAAAACCATGTGTTTTCTTCTCTGTCCATGGTCACCCTCCCTTTTCCAGTAGGGAGCTGACAAGTCGGCAAAGCTATTCAGGATGCCTCACTTTATAAGAGAAAAAATTGTACCAATTTTTTTTATATGTATATTTGTCTATGTGTGTGTAGAGCCTCGGCTCTACAGTAAGAAAAAAAACCCCACCGTTAGCATGCTTAAGGGATTTTTTTTTTTCTACCTGGATTAACCTTCAACTCTCCAGCTAGGCTGGGGAGAGGGGGGTAGGTTTCTTTTTTAAGCCAAACTCTGCAACTTCAGCAGCACCTCTGCGTTTACACTAATAGTTAGGACCTGGTGAGACAGCACAACTTTCCGATGTGGTGTCTGAACACACTTAACACTACAGTGAGCTCACTTTGCCACTTTTGTTTACAAGCTGTTCCCTTGAATAGATCTGGGGGGTTTTGCCCTCTGTTGTGCTTCAGCCTTGAAACTATAATGCTGAGTAATGCGTGTCTGAAAGGAAGCTCTTTTCCTTGTGGTCACAGACTCATTTGATTACTGCTGCTAATTCTGTGGCCCCTAGAATTAAAGAAGGAAATGTTGGTGTATGTCATTACTGTAAGACCCTGTTCTTCCTTTGTGCATGGATCCATTAAGCAGGACCTTCCTTCTGTGTAGCCTCCCCTACCCATTAATCTGTTGGTTTTAGCATGTACTGCACAATCCTATACATCCAGCTAAGGCTGCAGACTGTACCTTACCTGTTTTCCAGCCATGCTTCTAAATTGTGTTCTCATGATTTTTTTAATTAATGTGTCAAATGCCTACAAAAATGACTTCTCTGATTGTCTGGGGAGAAATCTGAACTTGTACTGTAAGTCACTACTTTGTGAGGCTTATTGCTTCTATTGCAAATCACTGTATATAATAGCCAGTTGTGTGTGTGTGTGTGCGCGCGCGCATGTGTGTGTATATGCACACACACCCGCAAAGTATGTAAAATGGAGTTTACTTAGCTTTTTGAAAGCTGAAAAAGCACTACATTGTTAGTTCAGGATGACATGAATATTTGGGGGAGGAGGGAGAATCCCAGTGGCTGTAACATGTTTTGATTTTATCTCAGATAGGAGGCACTTTGGCCTAATGTAACACTGCGTGATTCAGGAAATCACTATTACCTCATGGAGATTAACTGGACATTAAATTATGTGACTAACATGCTTCTGAAGAGTATCCTTTATAGGAATGCTATCTGGTTTTGTGGTGTTGGCAGGAACACCACTTACAGTGTTATCTATTTGTATCTTGTCTTTCACTAGCAGAGTCTGTTTCATTTACCTAGTGATCAGATGTGAAACCAGCTGTCAGGAGTAACCCAGTTGAAATTAGATGCTGTGCAGTGAGCTCCTATTCTGATTACTCACATCTCTCAACACTATTTTTTGCCTGAAGACAGGAAATGGAATTTCCTTGAACGTCCTAAATGGAGGTTTAGTTGCTGTGCTGTGAAAACACAAATATAATTCCCTTCTTGCTAAGACCACCTTAAATGATTACATAGTTACATAGGATAAATCCGTATATTAAAATGGAGCGGTTCCATGTTACAAACTACAAAGTGCTGGGCCTCCCCTGCTGTCTGATATAGATACAGCTGGTATTTAATCTGTGTAGCGTATTAAATGCCTTAAATTACGTCAAATAGTATTGTGTGTCAAGTGAAAAAATGTTAACAGATCTCTTGAAGTTTAATGCAGAAATGGTAGTATGACCACATGGGAGAATTACTTTTTGTCCCTTGTCACATTCATTCTCAACTATTCTTCCCATGAGATAAACATTAATGTTGAAGATGAACTTGATTTTTACCATTAAAGAATCAAACTTTCTCAGTAGGGAGAAAACTTTTTTCTAAGTTTATAACTGATCATTTTGTGCTAAGTATGCTTCAAGTAAAATACAGCTTTCCATCAGTCTGCATGCTCTCATTTAAACAAGGTATTGCCTCACGGTAATTTTATTTTCCTGGTGTCCTGCTCTGTCTCCAACAATGGGAACCTTTTTAACAGCCCCGGTTAGTTACCACTGAGTAAAACTAAGGTCCTGCACTTGGCTTTGGGCGAGTTCAGACTCGCAGCTTTCACTAATGGGGCCAAATACAGAAGTTTAAAACCTTCAGCTACAGTGACTGGTGTACTTGAAAGCTGCAATAACATACAGACTCGCTAGAGGGAGTTTGGGTATTTTGCACAAAAGTCCATCACATAAACTTATCTCCTATGCCACAGTAAGCATACTTGATTTCACGTCAAAATATGGGTGGGAGTAAATAAGTGCATATGTGTGACCTACACCATTCAAGCAGCTTTTTTTCTTTTCCTCTCTGTGAAGCTGAATTTGTATTTAGAACTTTTTAAGAGAAGTTATATAGTTAAAGCTAACACTAAGTATTCCATTAAGGGGAAGGTATTCTTAAAAGAATGTCAGTATAAACACATCTATATAACATAGCTATAGAAACCTACAACTGTTGCTTGCCTGAAGTACTTACATACTTAGCTTTCTACAGTGTACCTGCTCCTCTTCATACTGGAAAAATATTCTAGCCTTGTAGCAAAGGTGGTGTATCACTTTGGCAGTATAAGCAGTTTTTATGATACAGTATAAATACATAATAAGCCAATAACATGCAGTAAATTGAACTTTCCAATTCAGAGCTATCCTCTTTTCTAAAATACAAACCTGACAGAAAAAATGCAAACCATGACACAACCGAAATTACTATGTTGTGGAACTTGTACCTAAACCAAAGTTTTTAAACTGAAGTTAACATCATAGCTCAGTGTGAGAAAAATTTAGATCCGCCAATAACAACTTCCTAAAAATAACAGTATAGCTGAGTAATAGCTTACCAACCTTGCAATCCAGGAATGGCCTGCTCCAGACAAGTTCTTGCAATGCACTAAGGAAGACCTGGTTATCTCCTGATGAGGTGACCTTGAATTTAAAAAAAAAAAAAAAATTACCACGGTGTAAGTCTCTTATCACTACCCTTTAGTTCAGGCAATTCCACGTATTATTCTGAAGTTCATTTAAAAATAAACTATGTGACATTCTTTCAGCACAGGCCACTTCTAAGTAGGGAGCACGCAAGCCGGGGAGAACCTCAGGTAACAGCAGGATGCAACGCTGGTGAGCAAGTCAATTTTTTTCCTCCTCAGGTTCTGTATGGGTAATGGTTGTATTACGGTAACAGGCACCATTCTCCACAAGGCACACTTTGGCGTGTTGGATTCCACTCCTATCAAAGCGCATTCTCCTTGGCGATGCTTTTAGATGAGCAGCCTGCACTGATCAAGATCTGCTCCCAGCATTAGACAAGTCACAAATCCAGCTGTTTGTGAAAACTGTAAACAGGGACGGTTTCTACAAACACATTCCATTACAGATGATGTTTCTTCCTTGGTTGGGGCAGGGGACAGTTAATGCCAAAGACGTGTCCAAATTAAAGGTGGGCACCTGAGTTTACCACCTATCCTACAGGAAGTCCAATTTCTAGAGCTGCGACAATGAATTCAGTAAGTCACTGCTTGAGAAAAGGCTACTCACTGAGCAAAGGAAACCAGGATTAGGCCAGTGGTTTGCAACTAAGTACACTCATAGGGTATTGATGTGTATTTGACTATTGTCCACTAAGCATAGAGTTACACATTTAACGTATTTTGCTAAACAAATTCTTCCCCGTTATTTTCATCTCTCCGAGTTCTATTTAAAGAGACTTCCCAGGAACTGATGAGATTGGATCCCCTGCCCCTGTTCCCTCTCCCACATTCTCTTGGAGATTTCTTTGAAACTTTTTCCCCAAAACAGACAAATAATGGTCCCTTACCTGCTGCTGTGCTTGAGCTTTGGTTATGCAGCAGCCCTCAAACCCACATGCCTATCGGCCCAGTTTAGAAGGCCTGGTGATTATATCATAGGAGGCTTGTTCCCTTTTGGAACGGACACCGTAAACCTGACGGCACGATCAGAGCCCACGTTAGTTGTGTGTGAAAGGTAAGAGGAACATTAGCTTCATTAGTACACGGTAAGTTTGGTCACTTGGGCTGGGAAGAGAAAGGAAAAGAAAGTAATCCTTCTGATAGCAACTGACGGTCTCACAGCCGAACATTAAAGGTAAGATAGAGACAAAGATTAGCTCTAAGGTGCTGGAGCACTGGTGTGCTGTGCCATCAGTTTCTGATCCTGAAATGGAAAATGTTTTTGTCTTTTTCTCGATGCTACTATGCAGGCAAACTTCGGATGCAACCAACCCCATTTGGATGAAAGCTTTTAGTGGCACTGGCTTTCTTAGTGTTTGGAATCTAACGCTTACACAAAGGTGTAAATGTTGCTTTTGCTTCCAGATGGAATGAGAAGCATGCACTGCACTCCGCAGGCAGATGACACACGTTAAGATGGCGCGTTGCCTTTTACGAGATATAAGGACACTCAGTACAAAAAGACATGCTAGTGTCCTACCTGCTTCTTTGGCAGCAACAAAGCACAGAAAAGCACGGTCCAATTTCTTTCCATCTTCACAGGCCATGAGGCAGGGAATATGCCCAGTGCACTGAGCTATACAGCGGAGGAAAATCCCAGGAAGAAGGACATCTCTCCTGAATTAGCACGCACAGCACTTTGGGAACCACTGGTTTCATGGCTGAAGTACACAAACCTAAGAGCAGGAGGTTGTCTGAACATTGACTCTCCTCACGGCTAAACATACTGGTCTCTCTATACCTCTGTTTCTTCTCCTGTGAAGCACAGAGAATATATTTGCTGACAGACAAGATTAATTAGATTTGAAAGGTGCTCAGCGCCTCTCTACTCACGGTACAAAATTTGCAAAGGCTATGTATAGGTACAGGGATGCTCTGCTGACAGTGCCACTTGTATCTGGCTTGGCAACACACAGGATGCCAAGATGTCAAAGAACGTGGAATAAGCTGATCACCATTATAACAGCACTGATAGACCACGTAATTCCCTGTCTCCTCTTATTACAGGTTATTTGTAGGTGGGCTAATATGGGCTCTTGGGATGAAGTTTGCTATCGATCAGATCAACAATTCCACTTCACTTCTCCCAGGAGTAAAGCTGGGCTATGACATGCATGACACCTGCTTTGAGCCAGTGGTGGCCTTACAGCCCAGCTTGCTATTTTTGACCCGAAATGGCACAACAGGCATCGGAGTACTGTGCAACTACACCGACTACCAGCCTCGTGTGACTGCTGTGATTGGACCACATAAGTCAGACCTCTGCCTGGTAACAGCCAAACTATTCAGCTTCTTCTTGATCCCACAGGTAAAGAAACTCTCTGGAGAAGCAAGAATTCTCCTTTTTGGTGGGGGAAGGGTTTGGATCAACAACGGTCTCTACGCTCTAGGTCTTTGAAGCAGGACTACTAAAGTGCAGATTCCAGTCTTTCCTCTGCCACAGATTTCCTGAGTGATCTTGGGCAGGTCATTAAACTTCCCTCCTGGAACACACTCCAGTGTCTAAGTTCCCAGAGAGAAGAGGGATAACTCAGGCTGCTCTGTGATCAATGTAAAATGGGAATAAACAGAGTTCCCAGCATAAACTGCGAGGATCCCATGAAAATACATCTGTGACTGTAAGTACTCAGTTACCACAACAGAGAGAGCGCTATAATGGTCAGGTAAATTTAGCCCTGAGCTAAGATATTACTGAATCTTGGGTGTGTCACCCTTTGTAGAAAGTAGCTAATTATCATTGTCATTAACGATAAGGGCTGGTGCTGTGATGATGGACACAAATGGCACTGGAAGGAGATAGCCATGTGGGACAACGCTAGCAGAGGCAAATGACGGGCCAGTTTATGGTTCTCTTGGTAAATGCAGCCATGATGGACCTATCCCTTTAGATGAGTTCTTCCTTCCCACTATCCTGACACAGCAGTTTTGAAAATCTAGTGCACTGAGACTAAGCAAAGAAGGTGGAGAGTGATCTGGACTGTGAACACTTCTCTCAGCTTTACTCTTTGCCTCACTTTCTCTCTTATCCTCTAATTTGCAGGTCAGCTACGGAGCCAGCAGTGAGAAGCTCAGCAACACAGACTTGTACCCATCCTTCTACCGTACTGTTCCCAGTGATAAGAACTTGGTGGAAGCTGTGGTCCTGCTACTGAACAAGTTCGGATGGAACTGGATTGGCATCATTGGAAGCGATGATGAATATGGCCAAGGAGCTCAGAGGCTCTTCTTAAGCATAGCTGGAAATCACAGCATCTGCATTGCGTTCGAGACACTAATTCCTACAGACCTTGCAGACCCCAAAGCCAAAAACCAACTGGAAGATACCATTAGGTTAATTAACAAGACCAAAGTCGACATTATTGTCCTTTTTGCCTTTAGTCAGTCAGTCCAGGCCCTGCTGGAACACAGCATCAGGATGGGACTGAGCAAGAGAGTCTGGATTGGCACTGAAGCCTGGATGTTGTCTGACATAGCTGCCTCCATCCCAAATATTCAGAGCATTGGGACAGTCTTAGGCTTTATTATGAAAGCAGGCACAGTCCCTGGCTTCCGGAAATACGTTGCTGACCTCTTTACCTCTGTTCAGCAGGATAAATTTTGCCAGGAGTCTAGAAAATTCAACCAGCTCATGAACTCTGACGTGCTGGACACACATTGCAAACAGTGTGACCACATCTCGCTGCGTGACATCTCATCCATGCTAAACCTCCCACAAATACAATCAGTCTACATCGCAGTCTACAGCGTGGCTCATGCACTGCACAGAGCGCTGGGGTGCACCCACCAAGCGTGTCCCAAAGCATCTATCAGATCTTGGCAGGTGAGTAAAGGTCAGGGGGACAAACAGCAATTTTTCATCTCATTTATGCATCGATGCTGCACACAGCCAGGGAGGGAAGGAGGGTAACATTGCACTGTACTCCTGCCCTGGTAGCGATACAACCTTGGCAATTCCCTTAGCCAGTCAACCCCTACCCCGGCACACTGCATCTTCTCTGCTGCTGGCTAGGGCTGCATCCCCCTCTCTAGGGCTATGTTTTGGCTCCCGCTAATTGGGCTTGGCACAATAGATAAAGCAGTTGATAATACAGCCAGAAGGCTGATAGTCGCAATCTTAGCCCAATGCAAGGGACAACTGATTTCAGCCAGAAATTAGTTTACTGCATTATCATCCTCCAAGCAAGAACATCAACTGTACCAATATTTACCGTCAATTTTCATTTTCTCCTCAGCTGCTGCATTTCATGAATACCGTCCCATTCAAGGTGAATGGCCAAAGTTTCAGCTTTGATCAATTCCATGGCACAAACACTGGCTACAAGCTTATATTGTGGTCCTGGAAAAATGGCACCCTTACGTACCTGCCTGTAGGCAACTATGAAGAGTCCTTGTACATCAATAAATCCCAGATTCAGTTTCACACTGCAGATCAAAAGGTAAAGATGGGGGGCAAAAGCATAAACAATCATGAAATTAAGTAAACATTTTTGCCACTTCATCAGGACTGTTCATAAGGGGCTTTTAGCCTGCGTGCTACCCCTACGAGATTTGCGTGGGACCCAGTTCTTGCTCCTATGCAAACATGTAATCCATCTCCATTATGCAAAACTAGAAGAAGGTATTCCCAGCACTGTTTAAGATTCAGACACAGGTTTGATCCCAGCACAGCACATCCAGTTTCTTCTCATTCGTTTGGTGATACGGTGCTTCTCCTGAAAGTGTCTGGCTGACATTCATTCTTCCTTTTGTCTAGGAGCCTACATCAGAGTGCTTCAGACGTTGTAAACCAGGACAACTCAGACGAATAAAAGGATTCCACCTCTGCTGCTATGACTGCACAGATTGTCCAGAAAACACCTTCTGGAGCACTAAAGGTGAGGTCTAAGAAATTCAATGGCTTTAACTGCCTGTATTATGTCTACCTACTGCTTAAGGTCACACAGGTTCACAGAACTGGTAACAACCAGTTGTGAGCTCTTCCTCCATGAAGCACTGCCAGTGCAGAGTATTTGCCTCCATTTTGTTCTGCTGTGCATTGCTCAGTCTTGCTCTGGAGGTCTTCAGCGGGGGACCTTCCTCTGTTGATCCCAAAGGGAATGCATAAGGACAATGCTTATGTTTTACCTCAAGAGGTAGGAGAGAGGGTTATGGTGAAATTCTGGGATCATAGGTAGAAGAAAAGCATACGATGAAATTCTGGGATCTTTTGGAAGCTGGTGATCCTTCCTGGGGAAGGGAAACAGAGCCAGGAAATATGTGGATCCCTTTGGGAGGAGGGTGGAGAAGTAGTGGGGAAAAAAAGATTGAACTATCACAAGCTTTGGCGATCCAATACACTTAGGATGGGGCGGGGGGCGGGAGTAGGCAAAGCAGCACCCAAACCAGCTACCTAATTCATGACTGTGATCCATCCTCAAGGACTGCCTGCAGCAGGGTAGCAGCACTCCGCTGCAAGGTGGTCATCAGCTTCTCACTGCTGCTTTGCAGACAGCTCTACCTGCACTCCCTGCCTAAAGCATCAGTGGTCCCCTGTCCGGAGCACACAATGTTATGACCGCAACGAGAGATACCTCTTTTGGAATGAGCCGCTCACCATTGCCTTGCTAACGTTGATGTCCGTCACCATATCCTTGACTTGTTTGACAGCTGTGCTCTTTCTAAAGAACCTTGAGACTCCCCTTGTGCAGGCTTCTGGAGGCAAACTGAACCTCTTTGCCTTGTTCACACTCACGCTGCTGTGTCTCAGCTGCTGCCTCTATATAGGGAAGCCCAGCAACAACCTTTGTATGAGCCAGCAGGTAGTCTATGCCCTGTGCCTCAATGGTTGTTTCTCTACCTTCTTCATCAAATCCCTTGAGATCACCCTTGTGACAGAGTTCCCTCGCTGTGCCCCCACCTTCTTGTACTGGGTGACCCAGAGAAGGGCCTGGCTCCTCGTCGCCTTGTGCCTCCTCACCGAGTGCTTGTTCTGTTTCTGCTATCTTCACTTGGGCCCTGACTGTCTGGTGTCTGACTACAAGTCACTGCCCACCGAAGTTCTGCTTGTGTGTAACACCGAGTCCTGGTTTGCCTTTGCTCTGGTGCACGGCTACAACGGCTTCTTGGCCTTTGTCTGCTTCCTGTGCACGTTCATGGTGCAGACTTCTGGGAAGAAGTACAATATTGCCAGGGGGATCACTTTTGCCATCCTAATCTATTTCATCATCTGGATCTTCTTCGTTGCTACTTTTGTCACGCTGAAGACAGTCCTCAGGTCTGTTACTCAGATTGGTACCATTTTGTCAACTAGTCTGGGTATCTTGGGGACCTACTATATCCCCAAATGCTACATCATCTTGCTTAAGCCTGATCTGAACACGGTAGATTATTTCTAGAACTCCATCAAAGAGGAGCCACAGGAGGACTCAATAAACAGACAATAAACCAGATCCATTGTCACCTGCTCTGCAGTAGAAGCTGGCTGTATTTTAATAAGATAATTCTGTTTATGATGAGTCTATAAGCTATGGTCCCACACACAATCACCACAAAAAATACAGTCTTATCCAGTAGGCTGAACACTAGGAACAGAATTTTTAAGCTGCAAAAGCACAGGGCTCTACTCAATGAGCTAAAGCAAAATGCCCCCGGCAGAGTAGTATCCATCCTCTCTATGGCTAACCACCCATTTCATCACCCACAAGGAACCAAAAGCACATTTGGTTAAGCAAGCAACCTACAGTACTGATACTTTATATGAATCTCTCAGGTCTGGCAATCTGAGCTCACCCAGGCCACTTTCCTGTAAAGACCGCTCATGATTTTTACTTCTTAACAACTAGATAACTGCTCCAGCGATATAACCATGAATCTTTTCCCAGGCCTTATAAGAACTTTCAAATATATTCAACAGCACAGAAATAATAACCAGAAAAACAGAAGGGAATCATCTGAAAAGGTATGAGATAGACCACAAATAGAAAGCCTTGTGATTAAGTACTGATACTATCTACACAGGATCCTCTATAAAGCCCTTCTAGTGAGCAACATCAGAAAATACAGCTCCTGTGCAGGTCTCCTCCTGGTAGATACAGGAGGTAGATGACGAGAGGGAGGTAATGGACAAGAGAGAACCAAAAGTCCTGCACACTGCTCTGTAACTGCGGTCTGTACACATTTATGCGTGTTTGTGCACTTGCTTTATTAAAAGTGGAGTCAATGACATCCTACAGCTCTGGGTCTCTTTCTTAATGGTTACAGTCAATGCAAACTTATCGCTGTCTAGGTTGTGAAACTGTATGGTTCTAATAGCCTCCAGCATCCTTAAGACAACCCTTTCCCATTCTCCCTGTAAATAAGATTCTGTGACGGAACATACTGATCCTCTGGGCTGCCCTCTCTTTCTATTTAAACAGAGGGGCTCCAACTTATCAGCATGGCACCAAGTAAGTTTTGCTCATTTTTGACTGAAATTTAGAGGATGCCTGGAAAGGTATACATGAAGTTAACAACATAGGCAAAGAGTACACAAAGAAATTGATAGGTCATACACAAACTGAAGTATGAGGAAACAACTGTGTTCAGATCAAGAAGGGCTGACTACTTTGACTCTTAAATAAAAGACTGAAAGGCTAAGCAAGGCTTCTGATGACCATTGCTCTTCTAGTTGGTAATATCATCAGTACCCTGCTGCAGCGTATTAACTGAGAACTGGTCCTTATATATCACTGAGTGTTGAAACAAAACACAAGCAAGAACTTGCATTTCTCAAGAGATTTCACAGTTTCATTCCAAGTCAGAACAACTGTAGTTATTCAAGCCAGAATCTCGGTAAAACTGAGATTTTTTTCAGATAAATTATACTGTAAAAGTTTAGATATCATAATGGAAATGTTTATCATAATTTCACACTTGTTTTACAATATGAATTTCACTTTTGCTATCATTGTTGTGAAACAAAAAGCCGAACTTTCCAAAGTCAAAGTTTAAATTTCTGTTAAGTATTGTTTTCTATGGAAAAAAATTTCTTTTTTAATTTTCTTGACTGCTTTGTCACGAAATCCAGAGAAACCATTCTGATATGTAAAGGCAGCTGTATGCATGATATAGAGAGTATATTACCCATTCAAATTTCAGTTTACTCATTTGTGTTTCATTAACATGTGTTTGCACAGAACATGGAAATGCCAAGACACATGGAAATGAACAGTGTGCAAATCACACTATCCAAAGTCATAGCAAAAAGTTCCTCCATCTCAAAAAACATCCAAGGATCACCAGAGAGAAACATTTCTTACCCGGTGGGACATTCTGCAAAGGGGACAAAATAAATCAAACACTTTGAGGAATAAGAAATATCTCTAACCTGTATTCATACATGTAACATGGCCCCTGTTTGCTGAACAGCGGGAGAATTCTCATATCCAGAAAGGCTAGCAGTTTGCCCCATTAAGCATCTGATTTACAAGAACAGGTAATAGTGATAGTTTCAGAAGGCACAACAAAGAAATACACAAGAAAAACAGACTAGCTCTCTCACAAAAGGTGCCTGCTAACTATAACCAGTTACTATCTAGTTTATATTATGAATATGAAGGTTTATACATAAGTTACTGAACAAACAATGATCCTCTAAAGTGCTGAGCGTGGAGGCTCAGTGAAACGTATGGGTCTAACTCTCCGTAAATCCCGCAAGCTCCTTGCCACTAGGGAGTGTTGTATACCAAGAATTTCACAAGCCTATTTTTGCGTATGCAAAAATCATCTCTAATTGTCAGTCTACCTGCTTGTTTTGGATAGACTCCCCTCACTGCCTGTTAGCCACAGCCATACCTCCCTAAACAGGACTTTCTGCAGAGATGAATTACTAGACTCAAACCCAAACAAAGACGAAAGAAAACACCCCTTATTTCCATTACTGTTCTCTGTAACTACCTTTACATTTCCTAGAAATGGAATTGGCCCTTCCACCCAACACTGGACGTCTCTCTTTTTTTTGAAAGTGTCACCAATCAGTTAGGGCCTAAAGGCTGCTTAAAGCCAGGAAAGAGATTCACAATTATAATCCATAGCAGGTACTTTCTGCACTACAGCTGTTACTGACAGCGTCTGGCTAGGCTGTGTGTGACAAAAAAGCATACCCATAGTCCCTCTAGACCATCACGCACATATTGCTGGAGTACTTTCCTCAAACCTACAAAATCCTCCCAAGTTCCTGCCTCAAGTTCAGGCTCGGCTCCTACCTCCACTCCCACATACCACCTCTCACATGGAAAATGAACTGAACTGGCCACCAGCTGAACCACGTTAACACCAAGGGGACCAGCAATAACTGCCAGCTGGACTGCTGGTGGCCTACATACGACTAACAGCTGACAGTGGTAGCACCATTTAAGACAGCAGCTCACCCCCACACACTGTGTATTAGGAGCTACTTAGAAAAGTGCTACTTCTAGAATCGCTATGGCAAAAAGCTTGAACTCAACTCCTATTGCTGCCAATAGCAAAACCTCATTTAACTTAAATGTAGGCAACTATCTGACCACCTTTAAAGCAACCAGATATGCAATGGAGCAAGGAGCTATGCAGGTGAAGACAAACTTCCACTGAATTGTGTAAGCTGTTACAGAAGCATTCCTAGGTCTGTCTTTAATTGCTAGTCAGTGACTTGGGCATTTGCGCTTGAGTCAGTCTGTTCTTCCAATTGACTTGGACTTCATTTTTGTCATTCCTACTGATTGGATCAATGGCAGAAGGAATGGGTTGCACAGCTTTTAAACCTTGTTCCAAAGGGTTACCTCTCTACTGAACACATGCTGTCTAGTTTTGAGCCCAAACAGCCGCCAGATAACATTTAACAACAGGACTTCTGGTGAGCTACAGCAGAACACCAGTGAGAGTCTGAAGCTACATCTGCTCCCTATCAGGTTCTCACCTCAGGGGAGGAGAGGAAGCATCACGGATTTAAGTGGGAGCTTCCTTCTCTTTCAGGCTGCAGAGGACAAGTAGGAAAGATCCATTCTCCTCCAGGGCTGTGTTGTTCCCGTAATCCCCCCCATCTTGGACAGCTGCTGCACGGGCTGGGGCTGGGGCAGGGGGACTCTCCCAGCAGCCCCTCTCGGAGACCAGGCTTAGTCTTAGCATATGAATTCGTTTGCCACCTATGATGAAAAGTGCAAGACGTCTCTGGAGTTCTCTGTGAGGCACCGGGCTCTTTTTTTGCCCTCGATAAAAGTATTTTGATTTTCAGAAGGAAGATCCATTTCCCTGTCTGCAAAGTGCTTTGCTGTTCGGAACTGTGCCTAAAACGTCCTGCTACGAAATAAGCAAGTAGTGCCTTCAAATTCCATAGACACATGAAATGCAAGCTCTCTCAAAATACAGAATGTTAAAGCCTCACAGTAAAAACTCCAGCAGAAGATAGCGGAAGACAAGGAGTAAGTGACTCTGCTGGAAGGACAGAATGCTACCAGATCTGCTGAAGTAAGCTGCTGATAAGAGTGCAGATAATGCAGAAGCAGAACATGACAAGGTGTTGCAGAAGCTCGAGTGTGCCAGAAAATGAAACCTATGAGAGCAGAGGCTCAAAACAGCAGGAGTTGCACATCGCTTCCCTTTCACTTGCTCCTCAGAAATACAAGAGTGCCAAAGCTACAGACAACTTAAGCACCTGGACACAGGACAAGTAATAGATGAAGGGAAAATGCATCTGTCAGCATCACACAACCTGGAGATTTTCAGGCCTACTGCTTCACGCATGCACAGGGTATAACAGCTTTCTAAACATGGGAAAACTACACAAAGCCTTACCCTCCTGCTGGGAGAGTATGTTTGTACTGAAACATTTTTTGTAAGACTAGTTCAACTACTAGTGTTATTCCTGTCTGTTCTTGCAGGCATGGAAATTCCTCTGTTCTCCAGGTCCACCCTGCCAACTTCAAGGCATTGTAAAACCAACGCTGCAGTACACAGAGCATGACAAAGCTGACTCTGCAGCTCTAGAGGTCACCACAAATCTTGAAATCTTCAAAAAAGCAGCTTCGAACTGCAGACCCCAAGCAATCTGAGGGGCAAGGCCTATTCCCTCCTCTGTCCCAGTGCACCTGCTGTATTTTATTTCTCCTCTTGCCATTTGAGACTCTAGGGTCCACATAATCAAAGGACTATAATCCAGGACAAAAGAAGGTAAATCGCTGCTACTACCAGTGTGTCTCCTGCCAGTTACTTTTAGAACACAGAGGGTGGTGAGGTAATACGGCTGTGCTTCTCCATGAGTGCATTTATGGATCATGAAGCACTTGTCACCCTCACAACACTGCTGTACAGAAGCTGCTGTTGCTTTGCTTTACTCGTCTGGGTTTTCTAGGTCTTTTGAAGTGTTTACTATGATTTACTAGAGCTAACCTGATGCAGCTGCATACAGGTGATACAAGCTGATGAACTGGGTCTGCTTTGCTCATCTTCATGACTGCAGGATCATTACCCCTGCCTAACAGAGTCCCAGCTGCACAATTTCCTTTTTGTCTTAACTATTTTTACAGCTGATGAGGATGTCTGGCACTTTCGGTCCTTATTATAATACTGTGTTCTACATTATATTTTTTGTAATAAATGTGAATCCACATTTATTACACCTAAGTACTTTTCGTTACACACCTCTGTACTTCCAAAAGGCTGGAGAGAAACCAGCCAGCCCAGAGCAGACACCTGTGGCAGAGACCAAGCAAGGAAAGACAGACAGTATCTTGAACTACACAGCATCACAGCAATAATCAACAGTGTCTCAATGTCCACTTATATACCGTGAAGGTTGCCATGTGTACTAGTGTAATATGAGGTGGCTAATTAGGTATACTGCACTACCAACTATCAGCCAATAGTTGCTATTAAATATTAGCCACTTAGTGCCTCTTTATGTCAAGAAAAGTGGCAGCTACCACTCTGCTGTTACTTTTCCTAACAGTGCAGATGAAATACAGTACAGAGATTTGTCTTTTCTCATGCTGTATCATGGAGGAATGATGACAGTATCTCTCCTTCAGTTCAAAAGCAAAGGCTGCAACTTGATCCAACACTTTTTAACCAATGCCATCACACTTATCCTTCATAAACCTGGTAGAAGTACAATCAGACTCTAACGCAATTGTTAAAAAATTGATTTCACGTTACTGAAATTAAGCAACTAGCAAAGAACAAGTACTTTCTCAAAGCAAAACCAGAAATATTTTAGTAAAGGCTGTTCGCAGTATTTTTTTTTTTATCCTTTAAACAATCTTTATTCTACACTCATTTTGCAAAAAATTGTGTCGGTGTAAAGTAGCAAACCATGAAGGGTGAAAATGGAAAAACATCCACATTATAGCAAGTAAATATCAAGTCAAATCACTAAGATCTTTTCTTTTCCCCATCCACTTTGACAAGCAACTACACTCCTCTTTTATTCCCCACATTAGACAAAGTTTTTCCACCTATCCACTATGTGGTATTGGCAGTTAACTCATCAATTCAGCTCAAATACAGAATTTGCAAATTAATCTAAACCAGGGAATATTTTAATTCTTAAAAAAAAAGAGCTATTTGGTGTGCTGCAAAGCTAGCTGTCCTAGATTTCTGCGGTCACCTGCATATAAAATTCTCCCGGCGTACTTAAGGAGAAACGAGAAACATTTGACAAAAGTACCCCTCAGTGTGATTAAAGATAGCAAAAATCTGACCTGAAGACTGGAAGTCCTTGTTTCTCGAGACTGCAGCAAGTCTTCATGAGCACACTGTCGCACCTGAGAATTTCAGCAGTACTCCTCACTTCAATGCTGTGATTTCATAGTAGAGAAGCATTAAGTAACTTTTGATCCTCATTCCAGAAACAGAGAAGGAAAAACATTGATTTACCTCTACTGCTTCTCTTTCTAGCTGCAGAGGTACAGCCACGATAGACTGATTTTTCCTTTCCTTTAGGGGCAAAGGAAGGGGCGGGGGAAGAGGGGAGGAAGGGAAAAGTAGCTAATTAAATTGTTCAACCAGTTCCAGTCACCTGCAGACAATTTATACTACATCAGCTGGAGTTCGTCAGGCTCTGCAGTAAAAGGCTGCAAGAGCATGTCCAAAATTCTGATCATTTAATATTCACCTAACTGGGAACATGCTGGCTAGACCATTTTGCATCCCATGTAAACAAATATGGTTTGAAAGGGAGAATATGGGAAACTCTGCAAGACTTTCTCATGGGCTCTTATATACATTTGCTGCAGAATTGTGCCACTTATAACCGGTGCCTCCATAATAACTACTACTTAGTCCCTCCCTTTGCTGCTTGATCTCCACCAGCTAAGAAGAGGGAATCTGCCTCATCAAGCTCTGGCTGTTCTCTGTACATGAACCACTCAGACCTTACAGGGAGGTTTTGGTGTCCCTCATGTTGCATGACAAATACACCATGGTTTAAGGCTTACCAGTTAGTCTGCAAAGTGGTGTCCTAATGATCCTAGCTTGTCTCTGCTGGAGTTTGTGTGCAGAGTCCCAAAAAAGGGAATATTCACATGAAACAGCTGGAAATATTGATGGGTTCTACCAGCAGATTCATCTCCTGGGTCTGCAGGCAGGAAAACTTGTTCCAGCTCATGTCTTTGTAACAGCAAGTATCCTCCAGCTGTCTTTTACTTCCACAAACTTTCTTCAGCCTTTCCTGTACACCTACTCCTGTCAAGCTGCGAGAGGGAGAAGCTCAATAATTAAGAGATAGGGCAATTTAAGGGGAAAGCACAATTTCTGCACCAATGTATTAGTCATTAGCTCAAAGCTGCAGCACTTCTGATGAATGGCAGGGTCTTGTGCTTCCAGTCAGATGTCATTACCCTGCATGGAAGAGTCAGGCCTCTGCACTTCAGTCATCTGTGACCCAGTTTAGTGGTGAACATTTACAGGGTTCCTGTCATACTTTGAATTGTAAGCGCTTCTGAAGCACCATTAAATCACAGAACTCCCAGCTGCCTATCATTAGCTCCTGCACAACCTTCTCCTGTCCCGAGGACAAAACTTCAGTGTGGCAGGGGAGGGGGAAAAAAAAAAAAAAAAAAGAGTAAGATTCAACCAATACTTCATCATTCTTGAATAAAAGGTAATGCAGTAATGCAAAGAACTGAAGACATAGACTGCGGTTATCACATAAAATTAAAAGCTTTTTAGTGTTTAAAATAGCATTTACACATAAGCAGCTATATATTAACTATACAGACACTTGGGTTTTAATACAATATCTACAAAAAAGAATTCAATTATGCAATAGACATTTAACAGGAACAGTGCAGTCCATGCTAGTAAGAGGTCACTCTTTGAGTAGAACCAATTCTAGAATAGGTGATAGTCTGGGTTTTCATTATTTAAAATCATGTAACTTTGTTCCTCTACTGTACATAAAATTCTTTACATGTATTTCTAATCACTGATTAGAATTAATAATTTTAAGTCAATCTTATTACAATCCAGTTAAATGCAAAACAAAAACAATTACATCAACTCATGAGCTGTCAAGTCTCAAGATGGGACTGCCCATTTGAATAGAACAAAAATAATATCAAAAGTCAATGTCTGTGCATCATTGCTTGCCATCCAATATACCTTTGGATAAAGTGTCCAGGGGACTGTTACCTTTGAAAAGTAGATTTATTAACAGGAGGTAAAAGACAACAGCAGTGCTTTTAAGACTATTTGCCAAAAAACTTACTCCTCAGAGTTAACGTACTGGGTGGGTACACTACCCCTACAGATAGTACCTCCTTTGGATAGGAGACATCATCCCAAACTGTTTTCTTATCATTTTCTATCATCTTCCAAACATACCTGTTAGTCCTTGTTAAAAGCTGTTGGCAGGTATGCATGCACATTAAGCTCAGCTGCAGAGCACAGGCCGATGTTGAGGGTCTCACTTCCAGGATAAAAATGTCAACTACTTAAGGCTCCCGTTATGAGGTTGTTTCAATGCCCTATATAGCAAACCCATAACTTCTCATCGTAGTTAGAGGCATAGGTCATGCATTCTAGAGCCCAGCCAGTGCCAGTTACTTGACATTAACATCAGAGAAAAATTTCAGGCCCTGGTGAGAGAAACAGACAGTTCTGCAGGACTCCAGCCTTCAAACTTTCTTCCACCTGGCACAGTACTTCCTATTGTTAAGTAGCTTCGTTGGCATCAGTGGCACTTCTTTCTGCAGGTAGTACTGCACCCCTTAGGAGAAACTTGCACAGTTAGGCCCCAAGGCCCCCTTGTTGCAAAGACACATGCACATGCATTGAAAGCCAAGGATGGGATTTGGGAAATCTCCTGTCTTCATTCACGTCTGACAATTAAGAGCTAGCAATGTTTCCGGCCTAACTTTCCATTCACTCAAACCAGCCTCTCCACTGTACACTACAAGGGGGGAAATCAAGCTTTTGTTTTACACACAGTGGCCATTATGTATTGCACCGTTCACAGAAGGGTCATTTACATTCTCCTACTGCTGTTCGTAAATAGCAGGTTCTACATGCTATACAGTATTAACCAACTAGCACATCTGTCAGTACATTCAGAGCACTCGTTATTTGCCTGAAATGGATGCCTGTTTGTGGGTGAAGCTAGTTCAGGCTGGATTTAGCAGCCTGATTTCCTCAGCAGACGAACGCTTTCCCACACCTATGTTACGGACTATCAGCCTCATTCCAGAGCTACCCACAAACACGCAAGTATATAACACAGTCGTTTCAACATAGCAGCAAAGACCAGCAAGACACAGAACAGTTTCTGCCAATAGCATAACAACAAGACAAAAAAACCCAGCAGGTGTGTAAACTGCAACTCTTGAAAAGACATAAGGAAATTAAACACATTTCTTCCACGGGTGAAAGCTCAGCCCCCAGCTTTAATCCCTTTTGGAAATATCTTATTAAAATGACAGTCTTTTCCTCCAGCCCTGTAAGTTCTGCCTTAAGACAAAGCGGGCCAGAAAAACTGTAATATATAAGAGACCAGAAAAGTTAAAATTACTTTAAAAGTAGAACCGCTAGTGATTGTCAGTAAAGTCACAGACTCCTTAACAGTGTCTCCTGGAGACATAGCAGAATTACAGAATTATTTTACCCTGATTTATTTCCTTGCTTTAAATGTCAATCTTTCAAAATAGTTCACTGAGTTTAGTTAGCATCTTTGCTGTGTTACTGGGAGGAGGAAAGGAAAAGAAAGGATACTCTTGCACAGTCAAGCTTTAGGTAGTGCCATTCTTTTGAAGCCATCACCAACTTTGCAATCTATGCTAGCCCATCAGATGGATTATGATGAAAGCACTGCTTTCAGAAATGTTATGTAGCTTCTGGGGAGATTTTTGTAAACTAAACTGTCCAAAACCTCTCAGCTAGTTTAGAAGCCCAGTAATTGGAGTACCTAGTCTGAGTGACACACACTTTCCTAAATGCCTAGCTCCCTTTTGAAAGTGAGACTTAAGTCTCCAATTAACACAGACACTTGAAAACGTTACTCTGACTTTTGTAAAAGGGATGTGTTTACACACACAGACCTGTAATAAGAAAAGAAGTAGTGAAAAATCTATCAGAATGAACAACATACAAAATGGACAGTTTGAAGAGTAATTTTTTCAGGGTGACAAAGGAACATGAAACTACATGTATATAGTGAGAAAGACATGTTCTCTTTTGACATTCATATCAGATATTCACACTGCCCATAAAGCATGGAACATAACAAGAAGCAGCTTCTTACCAGTGAAGAAAATGCTTATATACAGAAAAGACTGATTTTAAAGCACCTGTCCTAAAACCTGCCAGAAGCAGGTATCTCACAAAAGAAGACTTAACTGAGGCATGGCCCCATGGTCAAATGCCACTAAGTGACTGCAGCTTAACACGTATTTCCCATTAAATGAGCCACCATAACAGAGTGTGGGTGTGCTCTTACCATGCCCTCATTCGGATACTTTAAAAAAGCTTCTTAAACGTCAGTGAAGGTTCCTGAACATACTTTATCAAGAGTCCATAGCCTTAGAGCAAAAAATACACAGTAATGAAATCTTGGGGATATACAACAGCAATTGCTTAAGTCAAAGCTCCTCAGCAGGAGCTCTAGCATGGGTCTCATTCTGTGTCAGATATAAAGATTCATTCATTGTACCATTTACGAACTGTTCTCAAAACACTCTCTCACCTCTCTGCTACCAGCTAGCCCCCATCTGTGTTCAGAACATGTTCCCTTGGGTAACACTGCAATTGGGATTAGACATCTCCAGATTTCTATTTCAAAAAAAGAGAAAGATACTGCTCAGAAATTAAGAACAGAAAAAGAGGTGATCAAAATGAATAGCCATGTCCCAGTGGGAGCCAGAGTTTACCTACGTCTCTGCTAGAATGGGATAAATATTCCCTTCAAAAGGGAAAAGCTGCAGCTACACTAACAGAATCGCATAGCAGCAATTGCCCTATTTCTGTGGAAACAACTTTGAAAACCTGTAAGCAAGTACGCATTATAACCAGAAGAAACAGACACATCTGTCAGCAGGGATGTGACTGAAATGCCCAGGAACGGACTGCAGCTACAAAGTCACTATCATGATACTAAATGAAATAACTTTACAAGTTCTGCACAATGAACACATACAGTAGCAAGACTCCACCACTCCCTTGATAGAATAATATCTAAAAAAAAAAAAGAAAGAAAGATTGATTTATTTATACTCCCTAGTCAGCAGAAGAAGGTAGCCACAACTTTGCCTTCTGCTAGGAATTGGTTTGAGCCTGCTCCTTTCCAAGCATGTGTTGTCTGTACACTTGCGGGTGCCATGTCTGCTTAGAGTGCTGACTGATGCATCCAAGAAACATCATTACAAGGCAGTATCACAGATACTAGCCAACGGTCATTTTTTCCTTGTAAGAGAAAAAGCAGGGAAAAATAAAAGTGCTACTATGCATTATTGGAAATTTAGAAGTGAAATATTCACTGTTATGTGAAATAATTGTCCTTGAATCAGCCAAAAAGATACACTAATTGCATTTTAAGTAGGCGCCACAATTACCAAAGCTTATTAAGATGTGAATATACACCAGCCATTCACAATCAAAAACAAGAGGGGAGGGGAAAAAAAAAAAAAAAAAAAGAAAGGATAAAGAAAAGATGCCATCGATTTGCTGATATTTAACAACCCCAGGAGATTTTTGTTGTTGTTGTCATTCGGTTTTGTGGGGGGTTTTTTTTGTATTTTTTGTTTCGTTTTGTTGATTTTTCTGCAACGCAATTGCAAACCAGGAAGGTGTGACATGCAAGACAGCCGAGTTTCTTCCGTGAAGTGTTCGACAATGACCAAAACTGCTCGCCCACCCCCAGAACAATCCCCTCCCCGGCCGTTCCCCAAGCAGAGTCTGAAGGCACTTCCTCTCACATGATGTCGACAAAGAATTCACAAGGGTTGCCCATAGCCTTCTGGAAGGACTGCCGGCTCCCCGTCAGCTCCGGAGGAACAGAGCTCAGTTCCCTCACGGGGGGTCCTCCGGGGGGTCCGCTCGTCCCGTAGACTTTGGAGCCCAGCTTGGGGAGATTGTAGAGGGGTGGGACTCCTGGAGGCCCGTAAGAATGCTGGCTGTGGTGGCTTCTCTCGCTGTGGGTGGCAGAGACGTGGCTTCGGTGGCTGAGCTGGCTGACGGGCCTCTCCCGACGCACGACGCTGGCGCCGCCGCCGCTGCGGGCGGTGTGGTCAGACTCGCTGCCGCTGCCAGCCGACTTGCGGTCCTTCTCTCTGCCAAGAGCTCTCCTGCTGTTCTCGCTGTTGCTTCGGTTCGAGCCGCTGCTTTTGCTTCCTAAAGGCCGCCGGTGAAAAAGGACAGACAGAAAAAAAAGCAGGATTAGCTCAACGTCCCGCTGCCGTCTCCCACACCAGCTCCTACCAAAACCCACAGATCCGGGTATGACCATTGTAATGGCGACAACGATGACAAAACCAGGCCTGAACGTGCTGTTGGTGGCTTATGGGATTTAGCGATGACAACCGGTAGGACAAAGCCGACAAGGTTGTGCCATGCACAGGTACACGTAGACACCTTAGAGCTTGCACAGTGAAAGCAGCAGCTAGCCTACAACTACGGGCTGAAAGCCATCTGCTCTGCTGCCGCCCGACTGACTGGAGGGAGGGGAGGAACAAAAACAGAAGGAAGAAGCAGGCATTTGGGGTTTGACTCAAGCAAACGAGCTTCAATCGAATTGTAACTGTCTCTGTCTTTGCTATCTTCTATCAGCAAAAACGTTTCAGAAAGAAACTCATTTGCCTTCTCTGTCATCCTTGGTCACACTGGGCGTACTCGCACCCAGGGCCAAATCACCTGAAGTTAACAGATGTCCTTTTGCTGGCTTCAGCACGTAGATTCTTTTAAAATTCATCGCTACAGTGTTCTGGGGTTGGAGAATTCTTCCAAAACCAGTTATTAGTTGAACTGCTCTACGACGAATCAATAGCATGCAGGATGTTCCTAGCGGAGGCCACTAAATCAACTTGGAAGAACAAAGGACTGCTGCTGGTGCGTAAGCCGAGTCGTTGCTACATACAAGCTTCACTAAACTTCAGAACTGATTTTACATTCAAGTTGAAGGTCATGCTCTGTTACCTATCTGTTACCTCTGAGAGACAGGCTAGGATGATGTCAGCACACATTTCCAAGTTAATTATTCTTTAAAAAATCCCAACGAACCAACCCACAGAATATCTCATTAAGTTCATGCCATCTTAGCGCAAGATTGTCTTCCCAAAAAGGATCCCCAGCCAGCAGAATAGAGGACCAGCTTTTGAGTCTGAATGAGCCACCGGGGTCACTGAAATGGGAAAAACAGAATGATTCTGAGCTGCTCCTTTCCTGAACTACAGATGATCATCAACTTCTGTCTGCTCCAGCTGATGTTTAGAGCAGGCAAATAGAAGAGACGGGAAAACTAGACTGACCTGGTGTGTACAGTGGAAAGCCTAGATTCCCCTGCAGAGTGCAAGAAAAGCTGGGGATAGATGGAAAACACAGAATATAAAATCACTGGACTTGAAGTTAGTATTCTGAGCCTGGGACTCTGAAGTGGTGTTTGCCGATTGTAACCCCTATCGGCTCTTCTCTGCTCTGGGAAAAACACTGTCCTGCTTTGTGCCTCAGTTTTCTTCCATCTGTAAATGGAGATATTAACATGGGTTCAGCTGCCTCCATGAAATACTACAAGGATTCATTAAGGTGAGGTTTTTGAAGAGGTAAGGTACTCCCTGAGCTGTCATTTCAAATGTTTCATAACAATCTTGTAAAAACAAATAAGACAGGAGAAACTACTTGTTAGCAGGTTGACTGTTACAGCCTTTGCGCCGAAGAACATAAAGATTATCTCCAAGAAGCATCTTTGTAAGCTCTCCAGTGTGGCACACTGTTCACAGTGGAAGAAAATTGACATTTGATTTTAACCCTTCCACAGCTAATATGCCTCTGCCTTTATCTCACGACACATTCTGTTGCTACCCATCCAACCTTCTGTTGCTACCCATCCAAACCCTGCTAACCTTACCAAAGCCATTATTCTTTGATGCAAGCTCCCTATTCACAAGAATTCATTGCCAGTTCCATAGCTTGTGGCTGAGTAAAGATCATGCAGGGGAGAAAGAAAGCTGCACTGAAAGCATTTATTACTGATCTTGAGAGGTCTTCCACAGTCAGTAGGACTGAGACTGCCTTGTGGCAATCCATCACCTTGCTACTCCAGACTTCAGTATATCCAGAGTACCAGGTCTAGCTGATCTGCCAAGACTCCAAGAGGTCAAGCGGTTAATGCAGACTTATCTCAGAAGAACCTGGCTTTCTGCAGCTGCACTCCAAGCTGATTACATGGCAGAAAGAAAATAGAGAAACCATCTACCATTACACCAGTCTTATCTAAGAATAATCATCATCAGCACAGCCGTTCTCCTCTGGTCATGCTGAGGTTCACTCTCTGCCTTACATGCCTTTAAATCCTGTCACAGAACACACAATCAGAAACTCCTTCTAAGCCTTGAGTTTAAACGCAAACTAATGAGAGCATCACCTTCTTGGCAGCTGGGGACTGGCCTGTCTTGGAGACGTGCAGCCCAACCTAAGGCTGAGGTGTGAAATGCTGTTAACTTGACACAACCACAGCAGTGTTTGTTTCCATCTAAGGCCAACTTTAAACCTAAGTGTCATAAAATGGATTTAAAGAATCTGCATTTCAAATGCCTAGAAAAGCTGCACTCTGCATTGGCACAACATACTATCAGCCTTCACTCTCTATTACTGCTGGACACCAAACTTCCACCTCCTAAAGCCACAGAGACTCCAGCTGCCTCAATACTTCATTTCATGGGAACAGAAGTTTCCACATGAATCCTCCTGGACAGGGGCAGGAGAGCATCCAGAAACAGTGTAGAGAGGCTCTGAAGACCCTTCTATTGGTCCTGTCTCAACAACTGACATCCTCTGAGCTTGAACAAATCCATCCTTCCTACTTCTTTCATCTCTTCAGACTGTAACCTGATGATCTCTCACTATCCATCTGTATAGCGAGCATCTACCAGAACAGGGATGTGACTTTAACCTAAACACTATGGTAACAGAGATGATGTTTTGCAGAGGAGCTGGTCCTCACACCAGTGCCATTCCCTACAGCAAACCTGTCCAAGCCTTTAAAAATAACCTAAGCCCTGGGTACCACAAGCAGGGACAGATGATGTGGCTCAGATGAAGCAAGCAGCAACCTAAATTGGAACAGAGCCCTGAACAGAACTGCAACATCACATAAAACTTTGCTAGATCTCCCTTCCCCTTTGTTGCCTGCCAGAACACAGTCTCAGTCTGTCTCTTGACCCAAATCTTAGGCTTTTGTCTGTAATCATCAGCAAATACACTGCATTCATCTCAAAAACGTGACATTCACTGGGCTCTGGAGCAGTGCTCTTGTTCACCAGATGAATTCAGTTACGATCTAACTTCGCACATAAAAGAGAGACTTCAGAAGAAACCCAGTTCTAACACTCTATATTGAGAGTGACCAATGCAGCCCTGTGTCCCAGTACTCTTACCTGCCTGAGACATCTGGACAGTGCTCAAGTGTCTTTCGGTAAATGAGCAGTGGAAGGGCACTGGTAAATAAATCTAATCCATATGGCTGACATCAGACTAATAAATTAGGAGCTGGGATTATTTATTTATTTTATGAAGAACAGCGAAGAGACTGGTGATAGGATTTTCCCATCTGAGCTGACAGTGAGGTATCTGATGCCATTCCCTCTGTAGCTGCTGCAGCATAGTCACACAGGGGCCAGACAGGTTGATATGCTAATGCCACGCTATTGGACTACTGTGCATTGAGACAGGTTGTGTGTCCAGGACAATTAAAAAAAAAAAAAAAAAAAAAAGAAAAAAAAAGTACAGCTAAACATTTGGGTCACAAGAGTCTAAATGATCATGCTGTGAATTCATTATTATTATGGAGGCATTTGAAGCTTACCAATCCCCTAGAGTCAGCCATTCCTCTATGAATCCTTCAGTCTAATGCTTGCTCAGAACAAAACAAGGGAATAACAGTTACAAAACAAGAAACAACACAGAAGTGTAGTTTCCAAAAGAAGAACAAGGAAAGTGTTGAAACCCTTCAAAATTAAACACCTTGGCGCCTTTCATAAGGCTCTCTTTAGCCAGTAACACAGGTCGCATGGATAAAATACCATACCTTTCCTATTCCAGCAGCAAAGATCTAATATTCTACTGCCCACAGAACCAGCTGCCAAAAAAAATAATCGCATTCTTTCCAGCACAATCAGCTTTCAGTTCTAAAACAAGGATACCACCATGAGCTTCCTCACAGACACTTCTTATTTTCAGATAAGGTGGGAAGCAATAGTGCTAAAATCTGGTGAGCAAGTTCCTGTTATGAAATTCTTTTGTGCAATTTTGCAAAATCTAACTGGCTATGGTAAACAAGAAGTTACATCCAAGTTACAGGATGTTCCCCACAAAAACACAGAGAATCCTCACCCTTTCTTTACTGGCAGCATTTCCAAAAGCAAAACTCACTCTGGAAGTGATTTAAAAAAAAAAAAATCTGTACAGCCGAAAGATACATAATTTGTATTTATTAAGGTTTAAAAATGAACCACAAAATTATCCTGGCGCAGGAAAGGAGGAGGTCAGGTTTTTAATCCATGCAGTATTATCTTTTTTTTCCCTGTCATATATTACAAAAGAGACTCTCCTCCCTGTGAGCAGTGTTTCAGCCCTGTAAACCATCTGGCTGGCCACCTCACGCCTGTTTCACACAAGCAAAGAGTGATTTTCCTTTTGTACTGAGCATTGAAGGGAAAGCCAAGAGCACCTTGGTTCTAATCCCTGTTCCATCAGCAACGAAATGGCCTAATTTCTAGCAATATCAAGCAGCTGCAGCCCCACTGTTGGCAATGGCTCTGACCTCTAAAAAGGGGGGCAATAGTTTATCTGTTTTAACAGGGTGGACAACTGAGTCATTAATGTTGGCCTGATCAGCCTTATCTAAGCAGTAGTTTACCGTGTGGTGCTGTTGGGTAAGAAAAGTACAGATGCCCATGCCACCATGGACATGACAAACAGCTTGGCTCTAGTTCCCCACTGGCATTTTGCATGGGGTACAGAACTACAGCATAATGATAAACAGCATGTATTCTATTCTATTCTACTGACTCAGTGAAAACATCGCTGGCAGTTTCAATACAGAGCTGAAAGGCTAACCCACTCCATCACATACACAGTTTTGATTAAGTGCAGTTGCACCAAATCCATGCAGGTAGCATACAAAACCACAAGACAGGAGCACAGACAGTACAAAGGAACTCAAGCAAATGGTTAGGGATAATGACAGCTATAGAAATAAGTACCAGATTAACCATCTTACCTTCACTTTGCTGGCTCCCTGCACTGCCACTACCATAGCTAAAGCCTGGGTCTTGGTATGCTGGTGGAAAACATGGAGGGGGCAGAGGATACTGATATGGGTATCCTTGGCCTAATGGCCAGGGAGCAGCAGGATGTGGAAGCGGAGCAAGGGTATCCTGATCCGAGGCTCCGCTAGAACCATTGTTAAGGTTCAGTGCAGCCATATCTGGAAAAGAGAGAAAAGGTCAAGACTGTGTTCTTACCTAGCAGCTGACTCCTGCATATTAATAACGGCTGACACAGCACCTAGTGTGGTGAGGGACTAGAGGGACTCCTCCCCGAGTTCATTTTAAATACCACACATGGTAGGGCAGACATCAGTATTTACCAGTGAGCACCAAGGTACCTTTGCAGAATTTCCGAAAGTCAAGGAGGAATCATTCCCATTTTACAGATTGGAAACTGAGTTGACTGACAAGCAGGAAGTCCGTGGCATCACCAGAAATAAACCCCGCTTTCTTCAGCCTCAGTGCAATGCCTTATTTGATGAGTTCATCCTGCTCTTCCAAGTGGTCTAATTGCTTGGTCTAACAGGAAGCATCAACCACTTGTCATACAACTTCAGAATAACAGCCTGTTCCGAAATACCCACTTGTGAAATCCTACAGGACTCTCCTCTGTGCATCCTGTGAGCACAGAAGAGACAACACACATGCAGCCTTGCCCTTCACAGATGGGGAACTTACTGCCACAGAGGTCTCCAAAGACATAATAGCACTGTTCTGAGAAGGTGATTTTGTTCACAGTGTGCCTGAGGTAGCCATGTTTTAACATGCTGCTGGCGTATTTTCTAGCCTCCCGTCGGTCTTTGAAGCCTTCCACATGTGTGTAAAGCCAGTCAACCACATCTGCTCCTAAAATGAGAACAGGAAGAGGAGACACAGGATCATCCTAGCCAAATTGACCTTTTTTGGTTTTTAATCTTCACATTATCACATAGCCCACTAGTACTACCGTGCTAGGTACTGAATGCAAATATGAATATGTAACAATCTTGCTGCAAAGAGCTCAAAATGTTATTTTCACAACTCAGCCTAACTGCTAAATTAGTTACCACCAAACATCAATAAAGCAAGCAAAGAATTATCTTGCACCCAGTTGAACACTACATTAACAGTGACACCAAATACACACAGAGAAAATTTTATAGTTATACTGTTCAACCCCTTCTGAGTTGCAGTAATGAAAATGACACAGGATTTACAGAACAGAAGTGACTGGGAGAGTCATCTTTGTCAAGGGGCAACCCTTGTCAAAAGACCCAGGTTCCAATCCCTTTCTCAGCAAAAAGTAACTACAACCTAGATTGACTAAATGTTAGCACAGTTGAGCTCACAAGACAGTCATAATCAAAGGTAGACTAGTTGTGGTAATTTTAAATGTAATTAAGATGCTTTATTCAGGTTGTGTGGCTGTGTGGAACTGGAATTACAAGGATTGTTGCTCTGCTGAACTTGGGCAGATTGCTAGAGCCACAAGTACTTACATGGAAAACCTGAGATATAACAAGAGTTAAGAACCAGCTGTGTGGGGGCATAAGAAACGTGCAGTATTTTGGGCTGTCCAGGCTCAAACAAGAGCTATTAGATATCTCCTGTCACACTTAGAGTTGTTCACAAATACCAAGTCAAGGGACTATAAGAGATAATAGATCGGGGGTGGGGGGGGGTGGGGAGCTCATATAAAGATAGTTTCTTCTGCCTATTTCCAAAAAGCCACTGGGTTTTTTTCCTCAGCATTCCTTTGATCTGCTTACCTATCACTGCATTGGAGATGGTAATTTTTAACCACATCCTGTCCCGAATTTCAAGGCCTGAGTCTGGTAGCTGCATAACCTTGACAATAGTAGCCATGTCACTCTTCACAGTTAAGGGAGATTCTTCTAATTCTAAAAGGAAGAAAGGTTACATGCTTCTTTGAAATGAACCGAGTCTGAAAAGGAACTTCTCAGCTCCCAATTTGGATGAAATGTTCCAAGACACAGCTTTACCAACAGATGCAAAAAAAGACACAAAGGGTCCCAAATGCACCCTCATCAATGGCATAAATTATAGCATTCGTACCAATTTTTCAGAGATTGTGCTCAGTGCAGCCAGTTTAGTCACTGAGATTCTGAGTCCCTACCAGCACTGCACTCTTTCATTCCACACTGCATTGAGATTTGCAGAAAAGGAAACTCAAGGAGTTCTGCGACCATTGCTTTCCATTTCAATTTGCCATGAACAGCCCCTACCCACCCAACAGTTCAGTGCACTGTATGCAAAACTCTGTAGGAAAAGTTTTTTTGGCTTGTTCTTTAACTTTCAGTTTAATTGTCAGGAATAATATCCATCTGCATGGACAAAGATGATGATGACCATGTCTCAATCAATGTCCATTTGTTTTCTTAAGATTTGGACATCAGCATAATTGCGGAGAATTGAAATTAGAAAAGAAAGCTTCCATCATCAGGATAAAAGCTGGTGGTTTCCTTAAAAAAAAAAAAAACCAAAAAACCCCAAAACTTTCCAGGATCCCAATGATGCCAGCCTTAAAAGTTAACATGTCATTTAACCCAGCATTACTTTGCCCTGCACCTTTCTTGCAGAACACTTTAAAAAACGCTACTCCCAAATGCCTCAGCAGCCATCACTGCTCTGTTCATACTTCACACACTCTTATGGGCAGACCTGGCTCACCGGAAGCTTCATACTTTCCCGATGAATTTTTATAATAAAACCAGAACAACAGGGCTGAGATTCACCCTGCTGAACTGAGGTGCCTACCGTAGGAGTCTAGTTCCTTTAGAAACTCTTTCTCTACCGTACATAGAGGCAAAGTGGCATCTAATATTGAAAGCCCAGTGGGGTGAATCTGGGTCCAAGAGTCTATCAGCCTTCTTGTGTTCTGTGCAGAACTCAATCATCCTGTTTATATATAAGACAACTATATTCTTTGGATACAGCACCCAGTCCTCCTTCCTGCTCCCACGTCTTCTCAGCCCTAGAAAATTCATGTTGAGCATGTGCGTCCTGTGTTTGTAGTTCAGACCCTTCTCCAGCAGGAATTCAGGAACCCTCCTCCCCTCCCTTCTCCCAGCTCCCCATATCACCCACCTTTCAAAAGCACAAGGGAACCAATTTTGGTTTTTTCCAGCAACCCAATATTTTGATAAAAGGTACAACAAGCATGAAACAATGAAAACTGAAAATGCTTCTTTCAGCACATGCACTGCTAATATGCATGAAAATATCCCAGACCAGCTATGCATGCGGCTTCAATACTTACAAAGTTTGAATAAACACTGAAATTTTGCTTTTGCTTTAAGTTAGTTTGGTTAGTGGCAAAAAGCAGCATGTTTGTTTGGAGGGAAAAAAACCAATAAACCAATATTCAAGTAAAGTTTGTGGGGAGCAATAAATTGTATTTTCTTGGAGACCCGCGATCTGCGTATAAAGAACAACACTGGCCAAATGATGATCAATATTTTCTAGGTCTGCTAGTTGCTGTACAAATAAGAAAAATTCTAAGATGCATCTAAAATGCACCCACTTTGGTCTGAACTCAAGTCAACTGTAGGCCTGACTACCTGACCACCTTTACAGGTACGTGCAAATCTGAGGAAGAGCACAGACAGTAAGTCCTTTCTGGGGAACTAGATCTACCACAAAGCTCTTTCTCAGGGCTTTGGTTATCAGTTTTGAGTGGCATTTTTTTCCCATTAGCAGATCCTGGTAATAAAAGAGGTGTATACTCCAGGAAAGCAAAGTCCTACCGCATGTAATATCACCACTTCCTTGTATCCTTATTTGAGTAAGGAAGTACACATTTGCCCAAACAAAAAGGCCCGCAGTACCTCAGGCTGAATACTATTAAGCAGAAATAGTTTGAAGTCTCAATTCAAAATCCTCTGAAGTCCATGCAAGAGAAAAAGAGAACCTTCCAACAATGTCAGTAGACTGCATTTTGAAACAGCAAGACCTTCGAGAAACATTGAAACACTTGACGTTAATCTCATGGAATGGGTCAACACTACTTTGCAGAAAGGGGTCCTGTAGTGGCAGAAGAGGGGCTGGAAAAATCTACCTTTAGCAGAGTAAACGAGGAGCAGAGTTTGCACTGACTGAGGCAGCAAGTCCAACACTCAGAAACCACTGTGAGAGAATATTCTCCTGCATCAGCCAGAACACTGCTGGAGAACAAGATACTTTTTAAAGCAATAATTACTATGAAGCACCTCAGTCTGCCTTGGTTTGCATAGTCCAGTTTCTGAAGAAATGCACCTGAGAAAATAAAGAGCTAACACAGAATAATTCCTACTGTGTGGTGGTGATTTGCATGGCCCCAAAATCTCAGCTACTTTAATCACTAGCACCAATATGATGGTGGCTGTGCAAATGCTTCAGATATCAGAACTTCACTTTTGATCCAGAGGCTAGAGAGCAAAGGAATGCTAGTCAGAAGGAAAGGAGTTATTCAGTCCATTTACATTATCCTGGCCTCGCTATACAGAGTAAAACAGCAGACAGTCACAATACTTAAACCAAGGAACCATGAAATAGACTTGTCTAAGATGACTGCGTTAATTCACTGCTTCCACTTTCACAGGAGATACTGTAGAACAGATACTATATTCGCTTCAAATACTAGTGACTCTAGCCTCAGAGGAAATGAAACAGAGAATCTTGCACTGGAACATGAAAAGTTAGAAAGCCCCATTTTGCATGAAGCTCTTCTTTCTTTGAGATGTCAATGCGCAGTCTCTCCTCGCCTCTTTCCTCCTCCGTTCCTCCCCGACTTTGTCTTTCCTGCCAAAGAGGTTCACACAACAGGTACTCTTTGTACCTAGGGCCCTGAGGTGCTGCCTGCCGTGTTTGGGGAGGGGGGATAACAGGACTCAACTGAAGGAAGGAGTGTTAAGCAGAAGGTCACAAAAAAGGTCAGGGGTACTCCGTGTTTTCTTGCATTCGGGAAACACTGTAAGTCACTGGCATAGAAATGAGAAGCTGTCTCCAGAAACGTGGTTCTGCTCCCAAATAACCTTTATTTTAAAAGTATGATTGAGAAGGCATCTGTGTTCCACACTTCCCAATCACATCACTATATATCAAGGCACACGATACATGAATAGTTCAAGAGGAATGCAGAGTAACAGACTCTTGTTGTTTGACAGCAATCAGCAGATACATTTGATTCCAGCAATCTTAGTACCTGTAAGGCTGAAAACACATCTCAAGATAAAGCAGTCATCAGGTAAGCGGTTCACTTGCTTTCTACTGCGGATGTATTTCCCCATCAGTGGTGCTGCCTACTATCTAAAAAGGCACTGAGCTATTACACCTACAAAAAGGATAACTGCCCTTTCAATTCAATGTGAGGTGTAATTCCAGGAACTTTGTGCTTATAAAATCTGAGAGAGGGTAGAAGAAAAAGAGGCAGACACCTACGTGGTCTGATAGGACTTAACTGGTCCCTGCAAATGCAACTTTCATGCTTCAGCCATGCATTTCTCCAGGGAAGATTCTGTCACTAGTCTTTAAAATCCTCAAAAAGACCGCATTGGTCTTTAAAATCCTCAAAGTGTTGTTTTTTTGTTTGTTTTGTTGTTTTTTCTAAATGATATCCTCCCTTTCTCTCTGGAAAAATCTTATAAAATGAAAAAAAAGTTATTCAGTCCTAAATTTAGACTCCAGATCTAGCAGACACTTAAGCATCCCTTGTTAACATGTAATATTTATCTGGCTTTCAATAAATGCATACTGAGGTAGCATTGTTCCACAAATGAGATAATCTCCTCAGAACTTTAAAGCTACTTCAAGATTTCTATGTGTGTATAAACAAATATAATAAATCTCCTTGCTACAGATGAACAAATTTGATAGAAAGGTTGCATCTCTAGAGAAATTCTTCCATATTAATATTACAGGAAACAAACACATACGAATGAGGTGTAAAGTACCTCAAAACTTTCACATCAAGTAAACAGAAGTGCTCTTTTAAATATGAACACGTTCCTGAACTAGGACTTCAGTGGACAGTGTTCTCAGAAACACATGTTCCTCATTTATTTGGCTTGCCTTACTGCCATGTATTTCAAACTAGCTTTTATCCCACGCTAACATCAGAAAGCAAAGGAAGAGTAAAAGAAAGGAAGAGTTTATATTCTTTAAAAAAACTTTCCAAGATAAGGAATCATGACAACTTGTTGGTTACATGGATACGACTAGTTTAGAGACTGCCACAGATAGACAAATCAGGAAAGAAGGCTGAGCTCTAACCATAATTTCACGTGGGACATTACATCTTTTTTTTCCTTGTTCAATAAATTCTAGAAGTATAAAAAAGTATAAAAGAAGGATATGCGAGTATCAGTGGAAGATTTCCTAAATGATACACTAACATTATTATCCAGTGACATCTACCTGAAGTAAATTATTTAAATTTATTAAAAAACAGTCAAGTGCAAGGAGGAAGCTCTCACATTCGTCTGAGGGGATAGGAGGCCTGCCTTGTAACTTTAAAAGGGATTAGAAGCCACCTTTTCCTGAATGTGAAACCTGGCAAAACACCACTGCATTAACTTCTGACCTTTGGAAAAAAGTTTTATGCTCCCCATAAGAATTACAAATTTAAGAAAGCATTCAAGAGTTCTGTGGCGGCTGTCGTTTTCATCGTGCTTGTGGCTGGGGTCGGTTTTGCGCACAGCTCTGCACTGCTGGCCCCGAGCAGAAGACGCCTGCCCTGTGCTGGCCGCAGTGTGACTTACTTTCCGAATCGGGAATTGAGCTTGTTAGTGAGGAGCTGGTAGATGTGGTGATGCTCATGGAGGGGCTCATACCGTAACGGGGGTACGCTCCCGTCATGGCTGTGGTATGAGAGATCCACGCTGCAGGGTCAATTGGCCTCACTGGTTCAGCTGCAAAACAACCAGAAAGGGAGAAAAAGACAAATGGAATCACATTTGCAGTAAACACTAAGACCTAGAGTAAGAAGGCATTTTTTTAGGGTTGCGCAAGTTCTTGCCATTCTGATAGCACAACTGAGACAGCCACAGCACAAGGGAACAAAAAGCACCTTGCCAGCAGTAGCTGGTTTCCTCTAGCAATTGCCGCACCAGTCTAACAGGATAAAATCATGACACTCCTGTTCCTGTAACTGCAGTAGGAGTGAAATATTTCCCCTTGTAGGAAAGAAGCTACCAGTCTAGTAATAATATTTCACTATCATTCTATACAGTGAGATAGAGATTCTCATTTTGCTATGATGTGAAGTACTACCAAATGCTTTGTCCCAGCCAACAGGAAGATCTCTCCCTACTTCTAAGGGTCTTGGATCCAAAATAACCACTCAGACAGAAGGTGAATCTTCTGCTGAAGGTGAATCAGAACAGTAACTCTAGAGCTCTGTATTTGGAGAGATGAGGCATCATGGAATTCCCCTCTCAGTGTTTTCAGCAGCCATAATGAAACTTTTTAGGACTGGAACAGTCTTGCAAAATAAATAGACAAGACATATAAAGACCATTTGAAGAGACTGGTGTCAGAGAAGAGTGAAAATTACACACACTCAGACCTTAAGAAGAGCCACATAGCACGTAATTTTTAAAGCTGAGAATAAAACTCTATTTTCCCCATAATCTGGATTACTTCTTTCTTCCGAATTATAGTGGCTGTTGTTCCATTGCCTTAAAACCGGAAATTATGTAAAAGAGCTCTGCCTATGTTAGATATTTCCATAAAATATCCCACACATTATTGCAACCAGTTTAGCCTACAATAGATACATTGCTGTTTGCCTTGGATAATAACGCATGCACCTTCGCTGAACAAAGGACTAACTGATACACAAGCTCTCCCTGTAGCAAATCTGATGTGATCTGTGGGATTTTTCTTTTGATTATGCTGGTGTTCCTTAAGGATTTCACTGAGTGAGCTCCCGTAGTCTGCACGAGTCTTTTGCATTAATTTCAATGGACAATGCTATCCTCATCTTCTTAGGAGGACTGGTAACAAGCTGGTTTCAGTATCATAAGCATAGCGCTCACCAGTAGGAGGCAGCTGTGTTTGTCACATGAGCACTGATCTTTTATCACTACTGACAGGTTTATTAAACCAGAAGTTTTAAAACTAGGTCATTTTCAAGAGGTTTTATGAATATGAAACAATGTTGTTTGCCTCAAATTTTAAAAATACTCAGTTTCAATTCTTCCTAAGAAGTGTACATGTGACAAAATGAGTCTTTTTAGCACTTAAGTATACTTATCCTCCAAACTTTCTACCAATTGAAAGGTTAAGATCACGAGGATATACCCACCAAAAGGTTAAGAGCTTGATCCAAAGCCATGTAAATCAAAAGAAAAACTCCCATGAATTCACTGGGCACTGGAGTCTCAGAAGGAGTATCTTAAACCCCTGCCTCCCAAAACAAAACATAAACAATACAACCAAACTTAAAAGTATCAAACTTGTAGGGAACGGAAATCTGTTAGATGCCAAAATAGCTGAAAATATTCTAGACCTTGAGGGCTCCACATGAACCTACCAAAGACCACAAATATGTACTCACCCCTGGGGATGGTGAAATAACTCCTGGGAGTAGGGTCCCAGCATTTGGCTACTGTTAGGCTGATAGGTCTAGGAAGAAAGAAGACAAGTAAGGGTGACTCTTAACCCTCCCTGTAGACTTAACTGCTACAATGAACTCTCTGAAACAAACTTATTCCTGTCCAACAGTTGTCAAGTACATCCGAGAATGCTTTTGAGATGCTTGTCAAAGTATTTTCAGTACAAACCAGTATCAGGATGTTTCTGGTTTTGCATAGATCACGAGCACTATTGGTGAAATCTGTCAAACGATCAGCTCTTGAGATATTAAAACACTCATTGTATTAAAAAATAGTGCTACTGAAACGAGGCAACTCCTAGTTTGTGTTGGCTTTGGCTGGTACATTGGAACCAGTCTCACCTATTCATCATTTACACTGAGCAGTTCAGAGCTGAGATCAGCAGTCACACTGGTTGTTTATTGAGATCAAAATGTTGATTTCTCTGAGGTTTGCCCAATACCAATAACTACATATGGAGGATAAGTAGCAAGAGATTTTGTAATATGCTCACCCCGGTTTGGAGACTATTTCCCGTAAAACCCGTACTGCGTCATCATTGCTCATGTTCTCAAAATTGACATCATTCACCTGAAACATTGCAAAAAGCAGAGGTCAGGCTTTGCAACAGCACAGTTAAAGACATTTTAATTATTTGTTTCCAAATTTGTTTGCCTTATAACTGTTTCCATTCCTTTGAGCGACTGCAGAAATATCGTTTCTCAGAGCACATCAACTATCCAGCAGAGTTCTCAAAGAATTATAGATTTAAGTGAAAATAGTCTTTGTGACACATTTCTCTGAGTGTGAATGAATTCTGTTAACTGATTACTAAGTCCATGGATCTGGTGGGATGACTGAGCTGAGCCACCAATGTACAAGCCAGCAGCATGTATTTTCGGACACGGACCAACCTGCAGAAGCATGTCTCCTGGTTCAATTCGGCCATCTGCTGCCACAGCCCCTCCTTTCATAATAGAGCCAATGTATATGCCACCATCACCCCGGTCATTGCTCTGTCCTACAATGCTGATTCCCAGGAAGTTATACTTTTCTATACAGATAGAAAGTGGAGGGTGGGGGGGAAAAAAGCAAACAAAATGATTGGAATAATAGTGAAGAGCTATTACCAGGCTACTTCAGACTGGAATAATCAGTTCTCTGAACATATCAGCTGGGCCATGTTTGACTTGCAATTATCTCAGGTTATCCTATTGGCGTATGTCTGCCTGGCACATTCAGGGAAAGGCAGCAGGGAAACGCTGCTAAAGACATTATTTTTTCATACAGGACACGGAAAAGTTACATTCAAAAAATCAGCAAGAGAAACAACATTGAAAAGACATGTCTACACCTAGAAATTAGGCACCCGATCAGCATTAGGCAATGTTTTTTCCACATGTCAGAGTGGCAGGAAGAATCTGGTGCTACTGAAAGGTGCTGAATTGGCAGTCCTGCACATTTCTATCTGGCTAAACAATGAAACGCATGAACAGCGGAAATACAAACTTCCAGTGCCTTTCTGCTCTCGCTCCTAACAATGTCTGACCCCTTACCATTTCTAGAAATAAGAGCAGAACTCCATATCCTGGAGTTCCAGCTCCTGCCCTGGGCTTCTCAGGAAGAATACTGATCTGCTTGTGCAAATGGCTCAGAACTATCCAGTACTGGACTAGGAATCCAGGCACAGTCAACAGAGTAGCAACTCTCAGCTGCCATTCCCTTTAGTTCAATTGGCATCCTTTCAAATCAAGGAACTTTCTAATGGCTCCAAAGGCTACGACACCATAACAAAATACATCTGTATCACTTGAAAGTCATCATAAAAAACATTGCTTATCCTCTTACCCATGTTGAGTGTGACAGTGATGATATTTAGGGACATGGTAGAATCGGTGATGCTGCTGAACGAAGACGACTGCAAAATACAACAGAAAATTCTCAAGGTTTTAAATGGCTCAGAATAAGACAATAAAAATAACTATTGAGAATTAATTCATTGGGAAGTGATTAATAGGTTTCCATTTGGAAGGCATCCAGAAACCATTGTGGCCTCCTCAAAATTATTCTTCATTTAGAATCTGTAAGGAAAAAAAATCTGAACACAATCTGCACTTTCTCCAAAGATTTGTTTACAAAATACACAGACCCAGTTCCTATATTAAGGTTTCTCAACTGAATTTTACATTGAATCATTTCTGCTTCCTGACTGTATGACTGACAGGCAGACATTTAAATACTAAAGTGCCCGGTGTAGTGTGTAGTGTGAATTATTACATCCACGGCTCCTCCCTAAAGAGAGGGGCGAACAACACAGGATCCTTCGGGAAGTGAGAAGACAGGCACTCCCTCCCTCCAAAATGAAATACAAACGTGCTTATCGAGTATCTTCTAAAACTTTACTCCAGTTCTTGTGATAAAATGTATGCATACTCATTCTTTAATCTGTGAAGACTGATATTTATAAGAGAACACAACATTTACTTCAAGAAATATGTCATTTGGACCATCCTCACTCTGCCACCATAGGACTAGCACAGAAAGGGCAAGAGAAAAGATTTGCTATTTCCTATTAAACGTAGATTTCTCCTTTCAGCAGAATGGAAGTCTCGGCAATTTATACATCAGATGTCTAACACCACAGACACCCCTTGCCCACATCAGCCAGTAGCATAATGGAGGTTCTCCTGCAGAGGCCGGTCTTGAAAGAGACAACAAGAAATGCGATCACTTCACAGTAAAAAGGAGAAAGGGAGAGGAGAAAAAGAGTCTTGACTCTAGAGCTGCAGAACTTCAAATGTTAGAGATTTAGTCCATGGTAGATTGGAGCCAAAGGGAGCCTTTCCAATGAATTCAACAGGGCACAGACCTGTTCTGGACCCCTTCCTAGTTCACCTGCTACACTCAAAAATCACAGTTCACCTCCTTGGAAAATTATGATGCCAACCTTACCCTGTCAATCTGTCGCATCCTTTGTTTCCTCCTCCTGCGTTTATGCTTCCGTATGAGTCGGGATGAAGTACTTTGCTCAGTGGAGCTACTCAACCTGAGGGAAATTGAGAGCAAATGTCAACTCTGTAAAGCTGAGCCATTTGCATTTCTCTGCACCCTGCCAAAAAAAAAAGGCTGGTTCCTACAAATGCAGGAGAGAGTAAATCGTACAGACACCATCAGCTAGCTTACAACATATCGCTCAGCTTGTTGCTGAATTGCTGCTCAATCCCAGTATGTGCTGTACCTTCGCCTCTGCCTAGGAGCAGAGAAGATACCAGCTAAACTACAGCATGGATTAGAGAGTATAATTTACTGGCTTGCTTTCTTTTGGGAGCAAGACTGAGTGCAACCCACACCTCAAAAAGCGTGTATCACCCTGATTTAACCACCCAAAGGTCAGAAGTAGCCATCTTCCACTACTTTAAAGGTGGTCCTGACTCCAGGCCCATCAAAGAAAAATGCACGCTCCAAGAACAATCGTACATTAAACAATGATATTAATCTCTGCTCTGAGAGAACAACAGACAACCCGGAGAATCTCTTAATATTCATTTTTGTGAGTCTTGTCATGGTCCTGTTATTTTCGTCTCCTGCTATCTACCCTGTTACCAGGATCTTAATGCTGGGGCTTGAATTCAATGAAGTAAAGTAGCAATTGATAACAGCTACTACCAAATAGTGGCAGAGGAATAGTGAATGTCATTTACCTTTACATATTCTGTTAGTTTTATTTTGTTGTGGGTTTTTTTTTCAGGCTCTTCACACTTGTAGAACCTAAATGTGCCACTCTCTACATATAAATCCTTAAGATCCCCCTAAGAGTTCGGAAAGTTAATCATTCTCATTTTACAGATAGTGGACTGAGACACAGATTGGATTTGCCCAAATTAATTTCAGAAGCCTGGGACAAAGCCTAGATTTCAGAGATACCAGTGTAACACCACAGAGACATCTCTCCTCTATTTATTATGTTAAGAATGGCAAAAAAAGACAAAGTAATGCTCCATCATTAACCAAGATTAAAAAAAATCCAACCCTGTACAAAACAATTGAACTGGCACTGTCACAAAGAAAACAGTGCCAGTCTTTTTCCCGAGTCTCCATGTCCCAGTCTTCAAAGTTCTAGCCACATGCAGGAATGCTAGAATACCTCAAGGAAAACTTGATAGAGCAACTTCAAAAAGGAGCTTGCTGTCATGAGATTACAACCCACCACACCGGGAAACCCATCTTGCATAAAGTAGGTGTGTTTTAGTCAACCATACTGAGCTGAATATTACAGATGATGGAACTGCTCAGAGGGTGTGAATCTCTTGACATTCTCTTTGAGTTCACAAAACTATTTCAGGCATGTTAACCTCACACACTCCTTTTTTCCCCTCCCAGCAAGGCAAATTAATTTAAAGAGCCAAGAGGTGGTATTTTCAAAAGAGATCAAAATTTTGATAATTCTCAGTTTGTGGAAACAGCTCACATCACCTGGTTTTCTGAGGCTTTACCTTTACAACATGAAAAATAAAGAGGTGTCTCAGATGCAGGGCTCCCAAAATTGGACTTGTTCAACATTCACCACTCTTCTTGAAAGTACTAGCAAAGATTGACACAAAAACCTCCTCTTACATTTTACTACCAATATTCTCCCTCTTCCTATTTCCTCTCTGTTTTCATTCTTCTCTCCTCTCTCAGAACATCTCATTGATAGGATTCAGCTAAAACTTTCCACCACACAACAGTTTAGGGAGAATTTGAAGAAAGGCAAGGCATGTTGCTCACATCACAGTGAACCTGCCTGCTTTTTAAGAAGGGCAGCAAAAAGAAAAGAGGCAAAAGACTGGGGGAACTTTTCTGCATATACACAAGTCAAACAACAAGATACCTTCAAAGGCTATGAGAGAGATGTGAGTGCCCTTCTTCCACTGATTAGAATAAGAATTCAACACTCCAAGCTGCAAACAAACCCTCTGCTCACAGGCTCTATTCCCTGCTGCAGACAGAACACAATGGTGTTCTGTCAAGCCCTGCTCTTTCGCATGATGAGGCAAGACTTTCCACTAGTTTTGGAGACACCTGAGCTAGCCCATACCAGAAAGGACAAAACCTTAAAATTTTATCTGTCCTTTTGGCTACTACAATCACACTTCCAAGTCATTCACAGCATCCAGGCAATTGATTTTCATTGTTTATACACATATTTCACCTACTGCTGCATCATATTTTTTCACTTTATCCCAGTGTGCATCACTTCAGGAGTATGCAGTACTTTCTGTCACCAACCTTTTTTAGAATGGCATCCTCTAATGGTTACTGTGGATAAAGAGAGTTCATTAAATTCATACACATCATTTCACTTATTCAGTTTCCCATTACTACGTTTCTGAAAGGAGTAATGCCTCTGGCTAACATTGCCTACTGTAAAAAGCAGTTTTAAGTTAGCAATGTTCATATAGCAGAGAAAGAAAATGGAGAGAAAAACTATACTGAAAGCCACACCTGCCTGCAGCAGGAGACCACGATGGGAATTCACCCAGTAGCAAAGTTCTTCCTCCACTTTCCAGACAATGGGCGTTTTATCTGCATAGCAAGTTATGGAAATGAGGGGTAGGAACAGTAGTTTCAGCAGACAGTTCACTGAATTTCTTTGTCTCAAGCAGTCCTGGCAGTAATCTGGTGCTATTTCATCGCACTTTACATCCTAAGAAGCAAGCAACTTAAAAATACCTTCCAATGTATGTTAGTATACTTCCTCTGTCAATATTTTTTCCTGATCACAGACAGCACATAAGGTCTGCTGACTGCCAAGGTTGCCTGGCTATGCCAATTTCTTCCTCCAGCTCTAGTGCACATCAATATGGTGTTGCTCAGAAAAACAAAGGATGATTGTTTCCAGCTTTTAGTCTGATTTTCTAAAATTGGACTGGACAAAAATACCTTTTGCCAGCAATGACTATAGCTAGAAAACAGAAATTGCTCTCTGACTCTGAGTCCTTAGAAGGGATATTTTAATCAACCATCAAATACAGGACATAAAAATACTTTCATTACAACCTTTAGAGAGATATATCAGGGATGAGTTCAAAAAGATGGACTGGAAAAAAAGAAGAAAAGTCTAAGTAGACCACAGAAAGGCAGACAGAGCACAGCTGAGGTGATGAAGGTATGAACAATTAGCTTATGTTCATATCAGCATCTTGTTTCTTCTTCACTTTCGCCCTCCCTATTTACTTTGGCAACTTGGGGGTGAGACTACTTTGGAAAATTTATTCAATTTCAATATATGACCAGAAGTTTACATTCCTCTGTAGGCAGCAAACATTCTGAATTTTTCTTTTAAATTAAACCAGCAAAAACAAAGTATTGGCAAATATCTGAACTTCTGTTACCAGATGATAATATGTGAAAAGCGAAGTTCTTTCTGCAGTATCCTTTTCCCTCTACTCAGCATTAGACTGGAAGAATGGAAATCAGTTCCTTAGAAAAGCCACAGTTCAAGTTTAGTTCAAGAGGACGGACAGTATTTCAGAGAAGTAACTACTTGAGCTAAAACAGCCTCTCACATTAGTTGCACAAAACTGATGATCAGAAGGCGCTGCAGAAACATTTTTGTGTGCTTATACATTGGCTTCTATACAGATAAACATTAGAAAATGTTACTTATTACACTGGAAAAACCATACACGGAGAGCTCACTTAACTCAATTTTTTTCATCCTTTCCTGGGGAAAGCTGGACAATGACTTAAGTTGCCTTAATAAGCCTATGTGTAAGTAGAAGGCAAGACAGCTTGTTTCAGCAAGAATCCCCCACTGTGTGAAAGCATATTTGTAAACATCAGGTTTCACAGTCTCTGCAATTTCTTAGAAAGGAGTCAAGCCTATATCTATTTTCATGTAGCTATGGTACACTTCATCATGTCTTCTTGTAATTTCTTTCAAATCCATAGCCTTAATGCATCCTTGCTGAATCATTCATAAACACTGCATATCTCATATTCTAGGAGTATCTGGATGCTAAATAGCAGCTCAAACCTATTCTAATGAGGAATAATATTTTGATCTCTGAAGTATCCCCAGAAATGAGTAAAAGTTATTATTACAATTTGATGAGCAAAACAAGATGGTATATTTGAGCTTTTGGGAACAATAAAGTGCAAAGATGAAAAACAAATCTGGAATCATAACTACTAATTTCCTGCACTAGCTACTGGCCAAAACCCTGACTGCACTTCTAACAGAAAGGCTAATAAATCCCACAGAAGAGATTTTTAAAAAGAATAATAATAATTTGTCCAATCTACATTCCCCAAAAGAAGGAAAAAAAGGTACCGATTTGTTAAAGAAAACTTATCCATACAGTTTAAAAAGAATTAATGTTAATTTCTTAAATTGGAAATAAACGTAATCAATTTTTTTTGCAGGAATTATTTTAGTTACATTGAACTCAGAATACTAATTGCAAGTTGCTGACAATAATCCTACAGCTACAGATGTCATATCTGCTAGACCTTTATTTGCTTAACAGAAGACAGAAATAAGGCTCTTACTGTAAAGTTCACCATGAGCTCCCTACATCAACCTGTACTCAAAATACGACCTACCTGCAAACAACATTAATGTTCAATTATATCATACTTTGAAAACAAAGGAAATAAATTATTGCACTCACACTACTTGAAAGATTCTGTACTGTCCTGTAATATCTGTGAACAAATTAACTCTTTGAAACAAAAAATTATTCTTTCTCTCTAACTAAATGCAACAGAACTTCCTTGGACTGGAAATCAACCAACTCTGCTGCCCTGCTCCTAGTTAAAAATAAAATAAACCAATGTCAAACGCACAGTTAGAAAAGCATCCTCAACCTTACAACCTCTTCACTTCCAAGACAGTAACGTCCTTCACACTTGATTTCTCTCAGTGACCTCCTCTGTACAATCTCCTTTACAATGCAGGTTCTGACATCAGAGTTCACCAGCTGTTATTAAACAAACTTACCCCCTTCAACCTCTTTTTCCCCAGGCCGCTGTCTCCAGCAGATCTGGAGCATGCTGGATGTTCTATTTGGCTGTATTTGCCTCTAAAAAAACCTCTCCCTGCCAGCACAATCTCTCATCTGCTTGAGAACATCATCACCGTAACACAACAGCATACCTTGGAGCATTCCATTTAGTTGTTCTTCCTGACTAGCTGGCCTGGCAGCTATTCTCCGTGCCAAACGCTTCTGCCCTAGCCTAGAAAGGAAAAGGCCTGTGCAGCAGCTTCGAAGAGTCTCTTTCTTCTCAGGTCAGACGCAGGAAGCTTTACTTTATTAATATAGAAAGATCTAGCTGGGTCTAGTATAATGTGCTTCAGTGGCCACCCTGACTGTGCTAATCCTGCCCTACTGCATATCTTGCTGCCATGGAAATGATTAATTTATTTACAAGAAACAAAATCAGCTGCAGGGTTGTTGTTGGTTTTGTGGGCTTGATTTTTTAGGGAGGGAAGGAGGGCTGGAAGCCCTAAAGGCTTTAGGAAGGCTTAGAGTACATTCAGGTTAACTACTGATCTTGCCAACCCTTTAAGCACATGAATATCCAGGTGAAGTACAAAGCATCCAGAAGGCTAATTTTCTGTATCTTCAGGTGTTGGCAACTTCACTGCAACTGCAAAATAAGTTCTTGAAACTAATTCAGGACCAAATCTTCAATGTTCATTTAGTTACCCTTTCAACCCTTTGGAAACACCCAGCCTTTAAACAGAATTTGAAGGAACTGCTGCTCTTCAACAGGTTTAAGCTATGATTAACTGCAAGACCAAATAGATCCACTGAGTTCAATAAGCTAATAATCTGTTTGCAAACATAGCACATGTTTAAGTATCTCCAGGACTAGTTGTTCTGTGCTGTTTCCATTCTACCTAAAATTTAAGAATATCACACTGCACCTTATTTATTTTAGCCACAGGTCTCTATGAACCACCAGAGATCTGTAATCTTGTTGTTCTCTGACATTTAATAGAAATCTGTAATGGATTTTCATGGCTTATTTGGATGAGCAACAGCTCTAGAGACAGTGTTCAAAGAATGCTATCACTGCAGCCGGGAAAGGGAAGAGTATTGGTTTTGATTGATTTTACATCTTTAAAAATAGGTATTTTGAATCCAAGAGATGTATTGGCTTATAGAACTTTTACAGAACAACAAAAATATCTTTAGAGATTAACAAGGATGTCTTGAAATGGAGAGGTTTTTTGCAAAGGAATAATTCACATTCTCTCTGTCTGCACAAAAAGAAAAAATAATTAAGAAGTCATAAATATATGGCATTACAGCCTGCCCTTGCAACAGCATTAACTTTGATGAATCCCTGTACTGCTCATAGGCCTCAGACTATGCAATTACACAGGCATTCCTTTACAATTCAGCTTTAGTGAAGTGCATACTTATTAGGAATCTGTGCTGAAGGTATTCTGTTACAATATTCACAACATTACTTTATAAATAGGTAGACAGTTGCGCATTGCTTTGATCTTAAAATGTGATTCTTCTTGCTATTAAAAGGAAAGAACAGGAACAAAATTTTTCTCTTAATTGGAATAGTGGCTATAGGCAGCTTGGACAGCAAGCCCAATAACTTAAGCTTGTTTCTCAGAGCAGTGATTATAGAGAACATGATGTTACTGATCAATTATCAGTGCTCAAATCATATGTAGCAGGGAAAAAAAAAAGAAAAGAAAATGGAAAAAAAAAAAAAAATTAATAAATCTTCTCATCTCACCAGTCAGCATGTTTCAGGAAGGCCAGAAATACAGTCAAGTGGCTGGGAAACAGATACAAACAGCATTTAACAGCTCAGTCACTATGCGAATGCCCTACCTGCTTGTGTTGTCATCATCATCAGAGTCAATGAAGCTGCTGGATTCCAGCTCACTACTCATCATGGTAGAAGAGCTGTCATAACCAGGAGGATGCTCACGGTGTCTGTCCAGTTTTGGATGGCCATTGATCCGAGGGACTGTAAACAAAATAAATGGAGTATTACTAGTCAAAGAAGAAGAGCAAGGAAGTGGCACTGCGAATAGCATGACATTCACACTGACAGCTGCAGACAACTCTGCAGGGGGTTCCTTATGCTGAAACCAAGCTCTTTGCAGAACCTGATTTCATTCAACAGCTGGAAAGCCTACTGCCCCTGGCCAGCCTGCCTGCCTGCCTACCTACCTTTTTCCTAACTTTTTCATTTTCTATGGCTCAGTTCATGGACAAGCCATAAATGGATCAACGCAGAAGTAGCAGGCATGAACAAGTACTATAATGGTATCAGAACATCAATTAGAATAGCCGTGAGAAGTTGATGTCAATAGGAAGGTACACATGAAGATCTTGGAAAAGCAGCAGATAACACAATTTGAGTTTAGTATGGATAGGCAGATTAACAGAAAATGTTAAACAGCACTCCTTAAGGAATTCTATTAATATCTCACCCATAAAACCACCTTTTCCTCAACCTGTGCTACGCATTCTTGTCCCCATACCTACACCACCTTGTCTGGGCAGTACAGCTCTATCAAAGTCACGTTGTCTTGACCATTCCACATGCATAAGATGCTTCAGAACAATTTCTTACTAATCCCTAGCTGTGTGAATGTTGTCAGACATGAACATTCATGCAGATAATCCCCTCGGTAAGAATGCCATTTACTTGAAAGCAGCAGTGATTCATCTTTTTCTAGAGATATTTTATGGATTTTCCTCTGCAAAGCAAACTCCTCTCCCTGCTTCCTTTCAGGGACTTCTCATTAGAAGACCCATAACCTGTTAAGTGCTCTATTTTTCCAAGAATGTTCCTTTCCCTGAAACAAGAAGGGCTCAGCTTGATAAGGCACCTGGTCAAGAAATAAACATAACAGGCTTCAAAGACAGACTGGTATTTTAAAACACACTCTCCAAACTCACAACTCCCTCCCAAGGTCCAAGGGATCTGCTCTTCAATTACAGAATAGAAAATCTTCATAAAAGAGGAATGTCTGCCGTAGGAATTATACATGATGGTGTGCAACTGTACACATTGAAAGTTAGTTGACAGTTCTTGCTAACTATTAAAGTAACATGGTTTGAAAAACCAAGAGCCACCCTAAATACCCGGCTGTGAAATCTACTGTGGCTAGCCTTCACTCCTCTATTTCAAATTGCTCAGAAGTGAAATAAAAAAACTGATTAGTTTTCTTCCTGCCTGAGGAACGTGGGCCTAATTATTTATGTCCATAAAGGGTTTTAAGAGATTCAGTAAAAGGTAACAGAGTCACATAAGATCTCATCTCATTTTTTTATACATGTATCTAAACCATTCATTTCTGCAAAGAAAAATAATTGAAGCATAAAGCTGTACAAATTCTCCTGCTATGTCACTTCCATATCGCGTTTGATCACTCAGCTTCTAGGCACATCTGTAGGTATACAAAATGACTGTGAAAACACTTAAGCTGGCTACCCAAGAAAAGCAAATCTTCTTTCAAGTCACAGAGCAAAACCAAAGCTCCTTCCCTCCTGCAACAGCACTGAGCTTTGGTTTGAAGAGAAGCTGAACAGTACCAACCCTTCGTCATCCTTCTCAGAACTGATACTTGTTTTTCATCCTGCCATGTGCTGAAGGGCAGTTGAGATGACACCATTTATTCAAGCCTCTTCTGAAACTAGCACATACTAGTAATAATGAGTCAGGGACTGACTGCTGTCCTCTAGGAGCTGCCTTAAAGTCAAAGGCTGTGTGGTGTTAAAAAAATGAAGCTTACCAGGTTTCAATTTCAGGCTCTGTCTCCAGAGCTCCTTACTCCTAGCATTTCCATTTCTCACTCCCTCATGTGTAAAATGGAGACAGAACAGCATTTGCCAGAGCTTTTTAGACTGCACATTCTACAGTATAGAAGTCCTCTCCTCCCATAATTTGGTTGTCACAACTACCATAATGTGCTCCCAGTATTGGGTGGTAACACTAGATCTCACTGAAAAACTATTAAACAGTTTGTCAACAGCAAGTTGAGGCTGCAGAACGACAACTCTTCATAGACACAGCGGGAAGAAAACATTTAAAGGCCTGAACTTTCAGTTCTGTCTGAATAACTGTGTTTCTTTCAGTACTACAGATGAGTAGGTGAAAATAAGTACCTTCAGGAATCCCACATCCACACTCGAATAGACTCCTAGCTCTGCCTTTAAACTAAACTCTAAGGAGCAGCCAATTACGCTTGCATCTGCCAGATGTATACAGCTAAAAAGAAACACAGAGGCTGGCCAAATTTTACTCCTTCTAAGCTGGCACTAACAGCTTAGAGGGAGTATCTCAACCAGACACAAACCGATACAGCTGTTTATGGCATCGTTACTGAGGAGGTGAAGACTTATATTGCATTGTTTCTTCTCATCCAGAACAGGCAACTTTGACCTTCGAGAGTCAAGGTCAAGTAATCCATTCTAGAGAGTCCCTGAATGTTCAATCCAGGCTTTAAAAAAAAACCCCATTTTTTCTTTCAAAGTTCCTTTCATCTGTAACAAAAATAGGAAAGAAAAAAAAAAAAGAAGGGAAAAGACATCCACATTCTAAAGCTGAGAAAACAGCACTTTTCAGCAAATTAATAAGCTTTAGACAGTCAGAGTTCTGTCTTTTAAGACTAAGGAGAGCGTCACAAACTTGAACAATTAAAATTCCTCCTTTTCTTGTGCTACATATTCATTTTTTAAATCTTTATATAGTGCAGCCTAGAGTTCAAAATATTTCACTAGATCTGGAAACCTGGATGCTAATCACAGCATTGAACAAATTCAACTCAATCTCTCCAGCCTCAGCTTAAGTATAAAATCAAGTCCAGCCACCTTGTCCGTTTATTTTTTGCTTCTACACAGTGAAACATCAGAAACTGTGGAGCAAATTAAAGCCTCTTAATCCAGCAGATTGCATAACCCAAATATGCATTCACTGGAAACAGTACTGGAACAGCCAACAACTGACACTGGCACCACTATCTAGCAGCCAGATAACTTTCAAGGAAGCAAAGCATTCCATACTCTGATCACATGAACCCCTTCTCTCTCTTCTGAACATACTTCAGCTTTAAACCTGATTTCAGGAGCAATTGTTAGCTTGCAAGAATATCATCACCAAAAATCAGTGTGTTGGACTATCAGAACACATGCAACACCATCACCCTTACAAGCTCTGCACAGTTTTCCTGAAGAGGGAATAACAATCAAGAAAAGGTGGTGACATACGTACAATGGCTTAGGGCAAAGCACTCATGATTCTGAGCTATGATGGACAGAGACTCTCACCAAATGCAAATCCAACACAGTCCCAAGGAACTTTGAGTTGGTTGCTGATTACTCGATAGTCTTGCTTCCACTGATGTTTCCTTTCTGACTTCAACAGGAAGTGACAGCAAATCTTAGAAATTTACTAGCTAGCACACAATTTACAACAAATCTATTATCTTTGCCCCTTCTGAGTTTTATATTTCTATTTTTCATAAAGGAGCAGTATAAAAGCTAGAATGGATGGAAGTCAAAACATCAGCCCTGGAGAAAACTGACTTCCATTTCTCCACTTGAAAAATCCCTTCTTATTTACTACTGTGTTTCTTTTCCTGCCTTCCTCTGCTATTCATGACTTGCAACTTATAGAAGTAATCACATCAATGTTGGGCGATAATGTTGATTTAATTTAGAGAAGCTGACGTTAAACAGAGCCCTGATATTAAAAACAAGCCCCTTTCAGAAGCAGCTTTCCAGCTCTGATTGGGTGGGTAGTAGATTACAGAAAATAATGACCTGGATTTTATCCACATTTAACTGGTATAAATAGGAAGCAAATTTGAGCAGCGTGCTTCTCTCATCAGAGATACTTTATTTACATTTGGCTTTGATTATTATTAAGTATACAGCCCAGAAAGAAAGTTGCCAGCATGATTTTGTAATCTTTCTCTGCAAAACTAGTCTGTTTATGCAGCTGGGGAGGGAGGGAGGGCGCCTCTGGTCATCAATAGGTGGGTTGTCTCAAGTGCCCACTAGAAATCACCAGTCCCGTCTCTCCCATCGCAGGTCATGATTATTTGACAATGCAGATTCTTCATTTCATTCCAAGTGGGTGGTCTAAAAGCTTTCACTCCTGTGGACCTTTTCTGCTCTAAAACGCCATCCTGCATTCAATTCTCTGCTGAGAATTCTGGATGTCATCAGTTAGGGAGCATTAAAGGTAGAAATCTACAGATTGCAATTTCCAAGCTCTCAACCGGACCTTGCACAGCTGGCAGTGAGGATTGCTATGAAACCAGGACATGTTTCAAACAGTCACATCTCATCCTTTGTGGGTTATTTATTGAGAAAATTTTTGTCCTTAAAAACTCTATGAGCAGATAGCTATTTTATAGAATTTGCAATTCAGAGTCATTTGCCTAATACTTTTAATAGATAAAAACTCTGTGTGTAATTCAGCTGATTTGTTTTCCATGTCTCTAACCACTGGACGCCATGGTCAGCAGTTGCGTGTTTTTTCTCTACTAGTAAGGAATTTCTCAACTCCGGATCTTAATTTGCTTCCTGCTAGCATCCTAAAAGACCGCTCATGCCATCTCTAAGGAAGCTTCCTTCAAAATTTACATTTATGCCACTAAAGTAATTCAGCTGTCACCCAGTTCCAATTGCTTAGCATTGGGCTCAAATACAAGCTTTCTGACTCTATTGTATTGTTCTTATCATCATTTCTTATAAGAAATGCTCTTCCTCTCCTGCTTGGCCTAAGACACACGAAGGATTACAGTACAAGCAGGCACATACAACAAAGTGTGATTATTTTGCAGTCTATGTAATTATTGACAGGAGCTGAAACCTTTTGGCTTCCCAAACATTCTGCAGTTTAAATTGTTTCCTGTTGTTTCAGAGACTATAAACTTGAAGCTAGGACTTGTGTTCCTATCAGATGGAATGGGACTGCTAACCTCATGTCTAATACTGAGTCTCAAACCG